CCCTCTGAGGGAAGAAGGGGGATGGGAATGGCTCTGGCGTGCTACCCTGGGGGACAGCGTATGCTGGGCCCTTCATCCTGAGAGTATTTATCTTGCTCCTGCAGGAGGCAATCTTAGGGGAGGGTCCAATAGAATATTCACCAGCTTTCCCAGCTGTGCTCCCTCAGGGTCCTGATCGCCACTGATTTGATTGGTCAGCACCAGAGCAGCGGGTCATTAGTTATTGCAGCTGGTCCTGGCGTCGCTTCCTGCAGCTTTCCTCCCCGCACTGCGCCGTCCCGCCACCCCCAGGCTTGCTCTAGGTCCTATAGCAGTGATGGCGAACCTATGACACACGTGTCAGAGGTGACACGCGAACTCATTTTTTGGTTGATTTTTCTTTGTTAAATGGCATTTAGATATATAAAATAAATATCAAAAATATAAGTCTTTGTTTTACTATGGTTGCAAATATCAAGAAATTTCTATATGTGACACGGCACCAGAGTTAAGTTAGGGTTTTTCAAAATGCTGACACGCCGAGCTCAAAAGGTTCGCCATCACTGTTAGAGTCTAGGATCCCTCATCCAGGGGACGCTCTCTTGGCCTCAGGCTCCCTCTGGACACAACCCATTAATTTTGCTCCCTTTATAGGAACATTTCTGTCTCCTTGCTGGCCATCTTCAGTTCCTCCTCCTGCATTCTCTCTGGAACGCTCTTCAATCAGACCTTCAGGTGATCTCTCCGTTGCTAAATCTGATTCCCGGACCCTGTCCTTGGACCCGCTAGGTCAGTGTCCACCCTCTCCTTACTTGGCCTGTGGCCACAGGTGGCCCAGTTGGTCACCTCCTCCTCCTGGTCACGCTCCCTTGGTGGTCTCCGGGTCATCAGCTTTGAATATCACCCATATGCTGACCACGCCCAGCCCAGCGTCTCCCTGAACTCGGGTCACCTGATGCGGAGTCAGGTCTGGTGAATGGCTCAAACAGGCGACCAGAGCTCTGCAGCTGCCCACTGAGTGTCTCCCGGCCGCACCTCCCCGGCCCAGTAAATGGCGACCCTGCCTTCCATCCACCTAGGACAAAACTTTGAACCTCCGCCCTCTCTTTCTCTCATGTCCCACATCTAAATTGTCAGGAAATGCAATAGGCTCTACTTTCAAAGTTCGTCCAGAAACCAACCCCTCTCACTGCCCCGGCCTCCCGGGCCATCCCTGGCTCACAGTCTTGGGCTGGTTTGTCTGCTCTGCCTTCTGTTTTCTAACTAGCAGGCAGAGCAGCGCTTTAAACATGTAAAACAGCATTTCACTCCTCTGAGCAAAAACCTGCCAAGAGAGAAGCCAGGGTCCCCAGCGTGGTCTGCACGCTCCTATTGGATCTGAGTCCCAGCCCGCAGCCCAGGCCGGCCCCTTGTCCCCTCCATGCTGCTCCCTCCGTCTCTGGGCAGGTGCATCTGCTGTTCTCTGTCTGGGGTGCTCTGCCTCCCTCCTCCATGTCCACATTCCATCTCCTCCCTCTTTTGCTTTTCTCCCCAGCGCCGGCCGCCATCTCAGGCACTGCATGTGAGAGTCATTGTGAGCTGGGGGGCTGCACGGGGCAGGGATTGTGTCTAATTCACAGCTGTCACCCAGTACTTGGCAATTAATTAGATCAGACTTTAAGTATACACGTCAGGCTCTGGCCTGGTGTTGGGCACCCCAGCAGGGTCCCTGACTGGGCCGAGTTCCCAGTCCCAGGGGGGAGACAGACACATTGCCTGACGGTGAGATTTGCAGGTGGCCATTTATATGTGTCACCTCCGATGCAGTCCTTGCTGTATTTGGCAGGAAATGCACTCACTCAGAGAGCTGCAGCCCCGCTTCCCCCTTCTTTACCCCGGGACCCACTAGCTGGCCCAGGTCATGTGCATGGGAAGGGGTCAGGGCCCGATGCTGTGGTCCCAGGTCTTGGCTAAGCTTTGAAATGGCTCCCCCTCCCCTCTCCCTCAGCCCGGGCCCAGGGGACAGAGGATACCTCCTCTGGCACTCGATGTGGGGCGCCCTGTGTGGGAGAACTTGATCTCAGCCTGGATCAACCTCTCCCCAAACCTGAGCTGAGCGGGAGGCTGAGCGCAGCAGGGCTGCAGGGGCAGGGCTCCCCTCCCCCTGGCCTCCCTGCGGGGATGCATCCCACCATTAATGTGGACAAGCTGTGCACAGTATCCCCTCAGCTGCTCCCAGGATGCCAATGGTTGTGGGCGGAGCTACCCTTTTTATTGAGCCCTTGGTTAGGCTTGCACAGAAGAGGGGGCGAACCCCCCCCCCCCCCCCCTTCGCGGCAGGCAAGGAGGCACTTGAGGGCAGGAAGTGTCTGTCAGTCAAGAGGAATGAACGTGAAAGGTGGAGATGGCCCCTCACCTCCTGCCCACTTTGGAGAAGCCCCTCTGCTCTCCCTGATTAACGAAGGATGTTTCCCACACCTCTGGGGGTGCTGGGTGGGTGGTAAGCGCTGATGGGGCAATGCTTGCCCAGCATTTCAAAATGTCCAAAGTGCTTCTCTGCCCACGCTGTCACTGGGTTTCAGGGCAGCCTTGACAAAGGCAGGGCTGATCTACCCGTTGGATAGATGAGAATATTGAGGCCACAAAAACAAGCCCATGCCAGTTGCCAAGAGACCTCGGTTCAAGTCTTTCCTCTTTTTCTAGAGATCTCCATCAGTCCTGCCCTGAGGACTTGCCTCCTAGAAGACAGCTTTTGTTGATAACATTTCTAGCTCTCCTAACCACACCTTGTGCCCCCAGCAGAAGCATGTGAGATCCTCCAGGAGCTGGAGGTGTTTCCCAGGTGATCACAGGCCATATCTGTTTCTCCCAGCGGCCCTCACCTGCTCTGGTCCAGGCTTTGCTGTCCGCCAGCATCTGCCTCTAGGGAGACGTCATCCCAGGGCTGACTTTCAGTTTGGGTTTGCAGTGGAGGGTCATGTGGTCCCCACACCTTTTCACCCACTCCTCCCACCTACCCTGCACAGTATTTATTGCCACCCCCACTGTAGGTAGGAAGAAATTGGGAGGCACTCTCAATGGCCAGGACATGAAGTGGTGCCAGGATATAAACTCCGATTTGGCTGTACAGCCTTTTTGCTGCACCAGGCTGGGCACCCAGCTTTATAGATGACACTGAGGCTCGGAACAGGGAACACAGACCTGAGGTAGCACTGAGCGAGGGCAGGGCACTGGGCGACCGGCACTGGCCAGATCCACGGGGACTCTGTGGAGAGCCCTCTGAGGGGGGATGCGGAGGGCAGCTCTCCCTCCCTGAGCTCCCACGCCCACCAAGCAACAAACCAGCGTGCATTTATTTTCTTGGTCTGTGTTGTAAGCAGCTCTCTGTTGCCTTTTTACAGCAAGAAGCTTTTCTAGACCTCTGTTTGGCTTTGGTAACTTGAAGATATTTATTCTGGGTTTTGTAGCATTTTTATTATATGGTGACTTTAAAAAATGAAAGCAACTTTGACATGATGCTTGCCTGAATTTGCCTGTTAAGGATGAGGCCTTGCTTGTGGAATGGTTGAGTGAATCAAGCATTTGATGAGTACTTGAGTTTTGAGTTTTATGCCTGTCCTACGGTAAAATCTGTCTTCCCACAACTTACCCGAGTCCCCCAGCAGCTGCTCCCAAGATGTCAATGCTTGGTAACGTGGCCGACAGCGTTCTAGATGCCCTGTCGTCCGTATGCACCCCTGAGCCCCGGGTTCCCCGTGCCCTTCTCATTCTCCGCTCCCCAGCACCTGGCAGTCAGTGTGCATGGGATAAGTAGTTGTATGAGTGCCCGATGCTTGTGTAACGAGTTGTACTATGTCCATGATCACTTTTTATGATTAGAAATTAAGAACAGTCTCAGAACTTTCCAGTTGTCAAAGGAGAATCATCCCATCCAATGTGGAACCTTCCGTGCCTCCCCTCTCCACAGGTTGGTGAGTATAAGTGGACTTGAACAAGGCCTACCTCTAAAGAGCCCCTACCATCCTATATAATAGAGGTAATATGCAAATTAACCCTCACACCCTCACAAGATGGCTGCCTATGACCAGGCCAGCAGGGGGGTTACTGAGGGACAACCAAACAATTGAACAGCAGGCTGCGTGGAGCGACCAGGCCAGCAGCGGGGGGCAGTTGGGGGCAACTAGGCCGGCAGGGGGTGGGCAGTAGGAGACGACCAGGCAGGCAGGCGAACGATTAGGAGTCAGCGGTCCAGGATTGTGAGAGGGATCCCAGATTGGAGAGGGTGCAGACTGGGCTGAGGGGACTGTCCCCCCCTCCCATGCATGAATTTCGTGCACTGGGCCTCTAGTAAATAAGGGAATCTGCCTGCAAAGGAAAAATCCTCCCACACTAGTTTCTGACAATTCACATCATGAAAAGTATTTGAGAGCTGTCAGATGCCAATGGCCTGGGTGCCAGGAAAGAACTTTATCTCCGGTGTTGGTAGCTCCTTCTGTTGTGTAGAGTCCCCCACCCCCCTAGATGGCATAGAACCAAGTGCCAGTTGGCTGGGTAGTTACACCCTGACAGCCCGCGATCACAGAAGGAAACGGTTGGTTCTTGCAGATGTAGGCAGAGATGTAGGCAGCGGGGAGCACTGGGCGTGGCCACAGAAGAGGAAGATCTGGAGCAGCCAACACCCAGGAGAGGGGAACATGTGTGCAAACATGGGGCTTTAGGAGACAGACTGTGGGGTCCAGCATGAAACCCGCTTGACCAAGGACATTTCTGCTGGGACCACTTGAGACCTGAAAGCTATTGGGAGACGTCTGTCAGCCTCAGCCCAAGTTCAGCATGCTTCCCCAAGCTTTCAGAACCCTGACGTGGCCCGAGGAGAGAGGCCAAGGCTTAGAACATTTTGGGCCCCCTCATGATGCCAGAGTGGACCTACTCACACTGCCAGGAGGAAGGGCAGAAGGAATCGCGGCAGTTTACACCAGGCCCCTGCCCTCCCCGCATTGTTCTCTGACATGCGCAGAAAGAGGCCAGTGAGACTCCAGCTCTCCATTTTTGAAAAATTTATTTTATACCCTTAGAAGCTAAGAACTCTGCCACTCATGAGCCACAGTTAGAAGTAAGATTCTTCCCTGTTCATCTACTTCCTTTTGACATTTATAAACAAGATCCTGTACACAGGAGGTAGCAGAGGACAATTCCAGTCTGCTGGTTCCAGCTCAGAAGGTAACTGCACACACCTCAATGTTAGCAGGGGGTGAGGGGGGCAAGACAGGGCAATTGCCAGGACATGGCCTCCAGGTCCTACCACTCGTCCTTGCTGCCAGGGACCTTGAGGGAAGCCCACGGGCATCCCCACTGGGATGCTCATCTGTTTCCTCCCAGAATGCCTCTGGTGCGACGCAGCATCGACAGTGGGCCTCGCCAGGGGAGCTTCTTGAGGACACACAGCATTGAGTCAGTTGTGCAATTCCTACTTTTTGAAAGATTTATAAAAACGTCTTCATCCAAAAAAGTTGGCAATAAAAACGACAACTCTTCCAAGGTAGCCCGTCACATTGTCGCTTTGTTGTATATTAAAAAAGTCATCAGCAGGTTTGCAGGCTGCAGCCGTTGGCAATCAAGTGGTTACTGGCTACGTGGAAGGGGCAGTCATTGCAGCAACAAGAGCAAAATGAACAGAGCGTGTGACATGATCTTGATGCGGTCCTGACGAAGCATTACAGTGAGGACAGCAGGTGCTGGGGTGCGGAAGGCGTTGTTTCCATAGGAAATAAGGGACTAGAAGTGGCGATTTCACTCCTGAATTTGGGCTCCTGAGTGCAGCTGCCGGCGATGATGTCACCACACATCTCACCACCGGCATGTCAATGTCATGTCCCACAGTCTTTCTGTGAGGATGGCGGTGGAGAAGGGGGAGGGCAGGGTAAGGAAGACAGTAGGGTATGGAATAGTCACATACTCAAAATCAGTTTTAAAACATCACATTCAAAATTGCAAGAACATCAGAAACATATAAAACTGCCTCTGACCATTTTTCTGAGGGCACAGTCCTTTTTTTTTTTTTAAAATATATTTCTTTATTGATTTCAGAGAGGAAGGGAGGAGAGAGAGATAGAAACATCAATGATGAGAGAGAATCACCGATCAGCTGCCTCCTGCACGCCCCCTACTGGGGACTGAGCCCACAATCCAGGTATGTGCCCTTGGCCGGAATCGAACCTGGGACACTTCAGTCCGCAGGCTGACGCTCTATCCACTGAGCCAAGCCGGCCAGGGCACAGTTCTGCTCTTAAAAGCCGGCTCCTCCATCTACCAGCTGTCAGCAGCAGCTTTAGGCAGGTGCAGGGTCACACACTGGCCTGGCTGCACAGTACCTCCGTCGGCCGCAGTGCCGTGACTGGGCTGACAGTGCAGAGTGAAGAGCTGACTGTCCGGCCACGTGTCACATGATGCAGAAGCCACCAAAGGCACTTGGGGCTGGACACACCTCTCTGACTTGGCAAATCTAACAGCGGCAACCTGGCGCTTCCTAAGGCTCCCCTAGTTCTGCGCATGGTGAGTTGAAGACAAGGTAGAACATGTAGCTAACGGCAAAACAGGGTCGGAAAATCTGTGTAGCAACTCAAAATACAAAATGTACAAAATACATAGAATGTTAAATATGCAACCCCACCCTGGGACAAAGGGGAGCTGGCACCCGAATGGTGTTACACTTGGGAATTCCAACTAAATGATGCTTGTTCAACTGCTTCCTAGTTATTTCTGGGAAAATAAAACCTGCTCCTATCTTTTCAGTGTTAATCACTCAAGTTGAAGAGAAACAGTCTCAAATTCCTTGTCTGCATTAAAATGATTAGAAACTCACAAAGATTCCTCAATTCAAATATTTAACTTCATATACAACCAGTACCCAGGGTTTCAGTAACTGTTTTAATCCAAAGCAAATAAATGATTGCAGATCACATGATTTAAGACTAGTTTATTCAATATGTCTCCAAGCATTAAAAAGATGATTTCATGAAGTTAAACTCAATAAAATTATACCTTAAAGTGCTTCTTATTTTGCTGTTTTTAAACTTTATTTTGGGAATAACTTACGATTTCTTTAGTGACTGATGTCAAGAATGCGCCCTGGGGAACAGCACTTCAATTATATCAGGAAAAAGACCTTGAATAGCTTAATAACCTCCCAATTTTCAATCCTGGTAATATTTCATCAAGATCCAAGTTTAAGCCCAGGGCTCTCATCCAAACCCATCTGCAATTCTGTACAAATAGGGAGACATATTAAATACAAAGGTCTGTGTAAACGGAATTCTTTACTATTTTACAATGAAAGGAATTTTATCACATATCTTTACATAACCTTAAATTTGATATCCCTAATCAATGTTACTACAAGATTAAAAATTTGCCCCCACACAGCTAAAGGCAGATTTCTTTAAAAAAATAAAAATAAAAACCAAAAGAATTTCTTCTATAGCATCGTAGAGAAAGCCACAGCTTTACCCTCACTCACTGTTGTATGTTCATGTAACAAAAGTCTGTCACAGTTTATTTCGTAAAATCGCCACAGAAATGTTAACCCACATGCGGATCTGCCTCGGGGCAGCTGATCCACAGGCCGGCGCTCTCCCCCTGCAAAAGAGCCCCACTCCTGGCCACAGTGCTTTCCTCACACACGCTCCTCAGGCCGTGGCAGGCTCTTCCCGCCCACTTCCAGGTTCTTCTAAAGGGTTCAAACAGGTGCTGAGCATCCAGTAACTGCGATGTGACTCCCCATCGTGTGCCGGACACGCTCCTCTAGGGATCCACGTCGTCAAGGTCACTTCTTAACTCGCCAATCATCATAGGCGATTCTGAACCCTTAGAGGAAGAAAAGGAAATTCACTCATTGAGAAGTTAGAGAAAAGGCTATTTTATGCTGACTGTGTTCTGTAGTTTAAACATGTCCTTATTTAACAACGTAATGTTTACCAAAGGGCAATGAAACCCGCGATGCTGCCACACAATAGCGCAGACAGCTCCTATTAGAACTCTGTGGAGCTGTGGGCTGAACCAGGGAGAGACACCAGAGCCCTGACATCCAGGGCCAGAAACTGCCTAATGGTCAAAGATGGCTCTAGGTCACGTCTGGGCCTGAATTCTGCCCCTCAACAATCCTGTGGCCTTTGGTTTAAACAGGGTGGGGAAAAGTAGGTTTACAGTTGTGAATATGCAAAAGTTTACTCTTGTATTATTTATTATTATATTCCACAGGAACTGTAAACCTACTGTTGCCCACCCTGTACACTAAGGGTTCTGAATGGTAACCATGTATGCGTCTTGAGACTGATCTAGCTGGGGCTGGGGGAAGCAGGGAGTCTCCCTGCAAAGGGGTGTGTACGCTGAGGGGGAGTCAGACAGGGGTGAGTAGGGGTGGAAGGAAGAAGTACACTTGATGAACAGAAAGGCCACTGTATCTAGAACTCAGAAAATGAGAGGGAGAGGAAAGCAGGGGCCAAATCAAGCAGGACTGCTGAGGATCCGCCTCCACCCTAACAGCAGTGGAAGGCTGCTGAAAGGTTCAGTGAAGGCAGGAAAGACTCAAGAGTGGCCACAGGCAGATTTTTACAGAGACCCAGGAGTCTAAGGTGCTTACATGACAGAACAGATGGATGAGATCTTTCAAAGGTCAATGACAGGGTGTGAAAATGCCTGCAGCTCAAGCGGCCCTGTAGGTAGGGGCTGTGTGAGTAAGGAGGCTGAGCAGGACCAGCTGTGGGCGGGGCTGGATGTTTGTGTTTGGCACTCAGAAGAGGCTGACATGGAGGAGGCTGAGAAAGAAACACCCGAAAAGCTGGCGGAGAACTCAGAGCGCGGTGCCATGGAAGCCACAGGAGAGTGGTTTAGAAAGGAAGACCTGGTCAGTGGCATCAGATACTGCTCAGTGGTCAGCTCAGATGAGGACTGGAAATGGAAGCTGCTTGTCACCCCAGCTGCTGAGCAGGAAGAGGCTGAAGAGTGAGTGAGAGATTAGAAATTAAAGGTAGTTAAGTTTTGACTATTTTTTTGAGAAGTGAGGCTACAGAGAAGAGGAAAAGGGCAGGGATAAAAGGGAAGAGGAGAGTTTTTTCAAAAGGATGGGAGACAAGTGTATCGGAACACCACTGGGAGGGATCTGTTGAGAGGAAGAGGTTTAAGATACCAAACACAGAGAAAAAAGACAGAATACAGGGTTTCTGGCAAAATGGCAGGGTGGGGAGCCCTCCCTGTGACAGAGGACAGGGGCTCGCAGGGGCTGTGAGTCTAGGAGCGGCAGCTGCAGGAGCTCCTGTCTGACAGCTTTTCTTTTCTCTGCAATAAAGTAGGTGAGCCTCAGTTTCCCTTCTGTAAAATCAGGTAACAGTGACCTCACAAGGTTGTCAATGAGGATCCAAGAGCTTAAAAAGAAAAAAGACTCTACAACATCCACAGGATTCATTTAATGAGGCCTCTGCCAAGCCCTGTTACGGAGCTACAAGGGGACTGCCCTTCTGGAAGGTCAGAGTGGAGGGAAGACACAGACACATCATCACATTCACACCTGCTCCATTATTCTGCACATAGATGTTTAATAAACATTTCATTCCCTTTTTACTATAGTAATTAGTATTAGAAATGTTGTTGGTTCTTCGACTCCCCAGTAAGTAGGTAGATTTCAACGGCATGAGGCCCCTCCTCTCAAGGGTCCATGCTTCCTGGAGGCTGGTGAAAGCAAAAGCGGGAGGCAATGTTCTCAGCCGGCAGTGAGGCCGACAAGCTGGAACGAATCGCTGGGGCCTCCTTAGAACAGCCAGCCACACACTGAGGTCCAAGCCTGGCATGCCTCCCACATGGCAGCACTGTTCCTCCCTGTGGGCACTGGGAGTGGGTCCTGCAGAGAGCACTGAGGATGGAGCTGGGGCTCCTTTTCTCTTGTTTATGAAATTGGTTTTGGGAAACTCCAGAGCGGGCGCTGCCCTTCCACACGGGGACACCATCATACCTGTTGTAGGTGCCTGTCTCCGTTCTCATTCGCGGGGCTGCTCTCCGACCCGTTGCTGCTCCCTGACTGTTCTTTCTCATTCAGCAAAGCGGTGGCATACGCTAGTGTGTCCTTCGGGGATTCAAACAGAAGGAAAAGTCAGGGAGTGGGTAGTGGCAGCGACATTGCCAAGGAAGACTACCCTTCATTTGACCTTTAGAGGCACTAGGAGCCTTAAGGGTGGTGTCTTCATGGCAGCCCCCAGAGCACCCTCAACTTCTGGGCCATGTGGGGGCTGGACTGACCCACCCATATGGCTTTTCTTCTATAATTTGTGAACTGCACACCAATGTGTTATCTTTTCATAGAAATTCAATCGTTTCTTTTGCCCCTTCTCATTTTCAACCTATACCTCCTCTCTTCTCTGAGGCTGCTGTTTCTGAGAAACATACTAAAAATCCTACCTAAGGGATTTCAAGCCACACAAAATCAGAAGACAACCCTCACCTGAGCTGAAATCGTCCGCTGAAAAGTCTTTCCAGTTGATGTTTCATTAGAGACATTGCTTTGCGGTGTCCAATAATGTTCTGACATCTGAGACAGGAGGTCAGAAATGCATCAGAGGTGACAGACAAGCCCACATGAACCCACGATTTCTACCATTAGATGGCAGATATAAAGCACCTACAGTAGTATATACGTCTACCCAGCCCTTCTATCACATCAGGAGTCTTTCCTGGAAAATTTCACTTCCACTCTCAAGAGCTCGTAAAATTCTACTTCTTACACAATCTTCCCCACTTTCTCACCTATAAAGCTAAGACGCATGTATTAAGATGCAAATTTAAAGCATAAAAACAGGTATCAACGGTACTAAAAAAGGTTTGAAGACTGAAAATACTTTGAGACCTGTTTCAAATTAAGTTTGAGAGTCTTCCCTGACAAGACGTGCTCCTACTATTCCTACGTCAGCACCAGAAGGCTCACAATGCATTACCTTCTTCTGCAGCCACTGCACAGCCCAGCTCCAGTGGTGGGAGTTCTCCTTGAAGTACTCTTTAGCAGCGGGACACCTGGCCATCGGAGATTTCTATTAGCCAAATGCTTTCTTTGCAGAGGTACTTATTTAATCTGCAGCACCCTTTTTATTGTGAAACACAAATGCTACTTTCACTAAAGTTCAGTTGTCTTTATACAACTATCTCTAACTCATCTACTCAGTTCTATTAAAATTCACAATTGAAGAACGAAAAATAAAACCCCCACAGCAAATAGTGCTTTTAATAAATGACCTCTTGCTAGAATCAAATTAATCTTAAATATTTGTGACCTGAATAAGGAAGCATATTATATTTAAACATGATCTTATAGCCACCCTCTCTTTTTCTATTTTTATCTGACTTTCTGGGAAGCTGTCCTTCGTATTTGAAGACAGTGCTGATGGTGATGTTGCCACTAGTGAGTGTATATAAAACAGATGTGTGAAGGATATGAAAGTATACATAGACACTGGAATCTGGACTAAGTGTCTGCTGGCAGCAGATATACTATATGGCCCCAACACTACAGTGGGGCCTTGACTTACGAGTGTCCCGACTAACGAGTTTTTCCGGCCGATTTTTTGCTTTGAGTTGACAGAGTAATTTGAGTTAACGAGCTCCTTAACGATTTAACTCGTAAGCCAAGGCCCCACTGTACTTGGAAATGCCATTCCTAGGCAAGTACTTAACGATAACATGCTGCCAATATCAAGCCTAATTAATGAACGCACAATTGTGGCTGGATGATCGCCATCTCTGTCCACAATGCTATGTCACATGGAAACGTATGTTCATGCATTATTTCAGTGAGGTTCTCAGTAATATCTGTGTAGGATGCTCAAACACAGCAGATTAAGCCAAACAGATTTCTCATTCTTATTTTGGTACAAGTTCAGGGATATCAATACCCATGCCTAAGAATCAGCAAAAATCTGGAGCAAAATAAAGTAAGCTATGAAGAAGGCTCTATCAGGTAAGACTCAGAGATGGCAGTGGAGTCTGCTCAATACCCCTGGTCATCTTGTAGTTACTCTGATCTTTTGTTTGCTCTTGTACTAAGTAGGGAACTAACGTAGCAAACCACTAAGGTCGCTTGTAACATCGAGAACCTTTGCATTTCGAGTCTACTGACAGATGAATGGATAAGCACAATGTGGTCTATGCACACAATGAAATATTTAGCCTTAAGAAGGGGGAAAATTCTGACATGCTACAACACGGATAAATCCTTGAGGACATCATACTAAGTGACAAAAGGACAAATACCCAGAGTAGTCAAATTCATAGACAGAGAAAGTAGAATGATGTTTTCCAGGGGCTAGAGGGTGGAAGAATGGGGAGTTATTGTTTAATGTTTAATGGATATCGAGTTTCAGTTTGGGAAGGAAGATTCAAAAGTTTTGAAGATGGGATAGTGGTGTTTGTTGCACAACAATGTGAATATACTTAGTGCCACTGAACTTACACCTAAAAATGGTTAAAATGGTAACTTTTATGTTATGTACATTTTACCACAACTAAAGCAAAAAGAAAAGAGAACCTTTGCTTGAAGCAGACAGCCTAGCTCTGACAGCACCTGTGACGTGGGACATATAACAGTCCGTAAGCTCACAGCTATTGCAAAGACTAATGAGAATACAGGCAAAGTATTTAGCACTGTGTGTGAATTAAGTGTAAGCCACTCTAATAGGATTCTGTCTCGAGAGACTGTTATGAAAGTGGGGACCTAGAGCCGAAAGAGCTGTAGCTACACTATGAAAGCCTCTCGAGTGGAGGCTCACCCACCTTGATTCCCACCCTTCCTGCACAAAGCCTCTGGGTTAGCTTTTCCTCTCGGGTTCTGTAAGGTCTGTTCCTCTTCTAACACTTCCCTTCACATCTCCCTGAGATCACCTGCATAGGTTTCTGTGCCATCCAAGCAATCACGCCCTGACTGAGGCACACTCTCCAGGTACTAACACAAGGCAGGTTTTTTCTGGTCATATTTGACTTGTAACCATTTCCTCTCTTCATTTTTGAATCAATACTTACTTTTGAGCAAGAGTTACCAGAAATTTGACACATTGGTAGCAGCGACTGCTGTCCACATGATTACTGTGGTGCATCAGAGCTGAAGGGAGAGAAGAGAATATTTGAACAATGAACCATTAAAATGAAAATGGGTTTCCTGTTCTGAAAACTTACAACAATCTACTCTGACAAACAGATAAAGACCTAAATTAAAAGCATGGTGCTGACTCAAGAGGATCCCCTAAATTCTAAAGGGTAGAAATACTAAGTAGATTCAAGAAACATACGTGGTGGCGCGAGTTTGACTTTTAGGAGAAACAGATGGAGCTAAGATTTATATTGGCTGATTATTCACCTAGAGACCTCCAAGCTTTTCCGCCCACCACACTGCTCACAGAGAGTAGTTAGAACACTGTTAGTGTGATAAATGGAAACTTACGGTCTTAGTTCAGTTCACCAAAGAGTCCCTGCTCTGGGCTTTGGGGATTGAAAGATGAATAATACTTGGCCCTGCTCCTGGGGAGCGTACCCCTGGTCTGGGAGTTCAGAGCCTGGGTGGAAGCTCTGAGTAGAGCCCACCATCCAAGGGGTGGTCTAGAGCGTTGCAGCTATAGAACTTTTTAAACTTACGTTTCTTTTCTAAAATACAGGAGGTCCTAAATCTTTTCTTAATACATAACCAGAATGTGAAATGACTCCGATTAACTGGAAATACAGGTGGATGGTGGGAGTTGGAGAAGACTATTTTTAACCAAACCTTTTCTAAGAAATTGCTCACTAAAGCCACTTCAGCCTTCTCAAAAGAAGAACTCTGCCCAAAACCTTTTATAAACAGACAACAGAAATTTGGGTGCATTTATACCACAGGCGAAAAACAATCACATTTCCTGAGTTCGACAACATCCTGAGCCTGAGGTTTTAGTTTTCCACTCCAATGGCTATAGAGTGGAATGAGAGTTTCTTGCCTTGGAAAGTGCCTTTAACTTGTTGAAAAGTCACAGCACCCTTGACTCTCTCCTAACCCAGTAAGGACCCCAAGTTGCACTTTACTGACTAAAGGTACGGGGTTGGTGTGGGAGATGGACTGGGGAGGCGGGAGGCAGACCCATTAGGGAGGAGACTGGCTACCTGCACATTCACTGCTGACACTTCCCGTTAAGGCCGGGCATACTTGCCTAGTAGTCCATTTTCTGTCTCAAACACAAATTTGACTCGCTCTACTTGTATGGGATCTTCAATTACCTGTGAGAGGAAGGAAACAAGTTGGTAAATGAAAGAAGAACTTAGGTTATAGCCACTGGTGCCTCTTTTTTAAAAAAAATAATTCAATAGGTTCTAACTTAACAAAACCCAATACAAATATCATGTCACTGCCATATATCTCAACATCTTACATTTTAAACTACAGATGAAAAACTACTGAGTAATATCTGAAGATCCATTTATTTCTTCTCAATGTGCTCTTACCAACACCTACCGTTCTCTGTGGGTTATAAGGACGTATATTTCATGATCCTGAGGGTGAGAGGTTTACAGATTAACCTGTTTACCAAACTGTGTCAGTTTTGCTACAACACAGGCTCTGCAAGTCCACAGGCGAGAACTGTCTTACTGTCACTGTGCGTCTAGTGCAGTGGTTCTCATCCTTCTGGCCCTTTAAATACAGTTCCACATGTTGTGACCCAACCATAAAATTATTTTCGTTACTACTTCATAACTGTAATGTTGCTACTGTTATGAATCGTAATGTAAATATCTGATATGCAGGATGGTCTTAGGCGACCCCTGTGAAAGGGTCGTTTGACTGCCAAAGGGGTCGCGACCCACAGGTTGAGAACCGCTGGTCTAGTGCCTCACACCCGATTGTGCACAGTGCAGCCAACTTGACAGCCCTGCTTCTGAAGAGCAAACCTTCCAAAGTTTGTAAAAGCACCAGGAGAAAGGACCAGGCTTTCTATAAATGGCATTCATGGTGTAATTCCTTATTTGGAAGCACTGATTAAATGACTACCCTGTGCCAAGGCCCATAGGCCTACACCAAGTCTTAGGGACCTAAAGGGAACCCTGTCCCTCCTCCCGCTCTTTAAGGAGCTTCTGGGCTAGTCTTTCTCACTAGCTCACAACCAGTCCCCAAATTCTATTGATTTTCTTTCCAAAGCATCTCTTGGCTTGTCCTTTGTCCCCTTCGACGCTGGTCTTGCCTCAGCACAGGCCTTGTTATTTCACACTCAGATTACTGCCATACGCTTCTGTGTAAGTCTTCCAACACTGACCCTGCTTCCTCCTTCAGTCCATCCTTCAAAGCAACTGCCAAGGGCATCTTTCTAAAACATAAATAAGGCCACAGAACTTTCCTGCTTAAAATCTGTCCATGGCGCCCATCAGTGACAGCAGAGGTTGCAAACTTAAATGTCTAGAGGCTAGGATGACAAGAAATGAGCAAAATGGGCAAAGTAAGAGACAATAAGGAGCAGCGAGGGCAGCAGGGAACTGGAGGTCCTGTGCCCCAGCAAAGAGGGCAGGCTGCTGCTGCTCTAGGTGACGGTGGCCTGCAGGACATGGGACCAATGTGGCCAGGTTAGCGGCTTTCTCAAGATAGGCTGTATCTAGAAATCAGAAAACAAAACCACATGGGCCATATAAAACAGGCAAATGGACAGGACGTGCTCCCAGGCTGCAGTGTGCAGCCACTGCCTATAGAAAGAGGTCCCCTCACTGGTCCCTGAGCCTTGCATGCTCTGGTTTGGGCTTCTTTCCCACGCCCCACTCAGCTCCACTCCTAGTCACACACCTCCTTCCAGCTCACTGAGCAATCAATCCAGGGGTCTGGTGGGGGGAAGGGGCTAACTGCATGGCTCAGATCCTGGCTTTGTGATTTATTAGAGGTTGGTCTTAGGCAAATCACTCCACTTCTCCAAGTTCTAATTTCTAATGTGATACGGTACTTTGTTGATTATAACTGAATTTCCCCCATTTTTTATATTTCCAAAATTGAGATGCATCCTACAGTCAATTACATTTCAGTTTCATGGCTTGTAAAAATATTTCTAGTAGTATAAAGACAATCAAGGGTACCTCAGATAGGAGTGAAATATAGAGCCAGCAATTTCCCTGAGGTTACTGTGAGGTTAAACAAGATAATACTTGTGCTTAGCACAGCCCCCTAGCCACAGCAGAGCCATCCACTGCTCCTCTGCTCTCTGTACGACAACTGCTTGTGTACTTGTCTAGCTCCCTCACGAAACCACGAGCCCCTATAAGGTAAGGTTTTATTATTGCTCACCTGTAAATCAGTATTGCACAAAAAAAGACTGATATGAGGAGGACTTAGTAAGTGCAGGATAAGAATGGAAAAACAATACAAGGACAGGCAACTTTTAATTTATAAACAATGCTGGCTAACACATGCCTAAATACAAGTGAATCAGAACATGTATGACTTACCAGTATCTCATGCAGTAGTTGGAAGGTATTCTTTAACTCGTGGGGTGGAGCTGTTTCTAGTTGGTTCTGAAATGTTTTTAAAAAGAAAATTCCAGTAAGCCTTCAGCGGAAAGCACATTGGTGTGTCAGTCAACAATGTCAGACTCAAGCCCTAGTTCCACCACTATCTGGCTAACCTTGGCCAAGTCAATTCTTCTCTTTGGGGGCCTCAGTTTCCCCAAATGCTAAATCTGGGACTGAAACAAACCATCTCCTCTGTGGTCCTCCCAGCTGCAACGCTCCGTGGTTAGGAAGGAGAGAGGAGGAAGGGCAGAAAGAAGAGAATGTGAAGTCACTAAAGAGGTCCCCATTTTAATTTCATTGATACATATCCTATTTTGTTTTCCAGAATATGCTGCTGTTGCTATGAGAATGCAAATGAGTATGCTCTGAGATAAGTATGCTGAGTGGAGTATGGAAGAAAATCTGGTTTACGAAACAGAAAAACCTGCCAAGACGCACCTGTGAAGAAAGCAAGATTCAGAGACTCATTCCTGTGTGCATTTTAACAGCCTCACACAGGTACATGGATGGGGCCTAGGACCCTGCATCACCACACCACACTTCCCGGTGTCAGGGCTGGCACTCAGCGAGCATCTCTCTCCACGCCTCACGGACTCCCCACCACCTGTGAGGTCAGGTCACACTCCCTCCCACTGTGAGAGGAGGGAAACTGCCTGAAGTCACATCAGTGAACATTAAAGGGAGGAATGCAGTCACCTCTGACATAGGTCTGCACAGAACAGCTTCAGGGCAGAACATTTTAATAAGAGTCTGAAGACATAACCCACTAACCACCTGCTACTTGTCAGCACCACCTGTATCACTATTATAAATCCTGGTGCAGGTAACAGGGTGATGCAGAAATTTTGTGGGCAAAAACGAATACACATGGTATGAATTTACAGAAAGAAGCCTGGAAGGACCCATACCAATGTGGCATATTGGTCCCTGGGGTGGGGAGGAGAGGGGCAAGATTGGTTGGTGTTGTCAGAGAATGCAGCCATGTATTATCCATGTTATTAAAGATTAGTAACTAATAAAAATGATCTGTGTAGGGTTACAGATTTTTCTAGTAATCCCTAGAAAGGCAGTAAAAATATGGTTAAGAGCACAGCCCTGGAGCCAGACTGCCCACGTTCAAATTCCCACTCTGCCACTTACTAGTTGAGACCTTGGGGAAGTTATTTACCCTGTGCCTCAGTTTCTTGAACTATAAAATGCTGACAATAGTATCTGCCTGATAGGACTACTTGAGAATTAAGTGAGCTAAATATGTACTCTGCTTGGAACAGTGCTTTGGCATCCAGTAAGTGCCACAGTGGTAGCAGTAATTAGCATACTGACCAGAGCTTCATAAGGAACTGTATCACCTTTTTAGGTGAGAAAACCCTACTTCTGATTTTTAAAATGGGGAGGGCATTTAATATGAAATTGGAAAACATTTTACATAGTAATGGTCACACAGCATTATTAACTATAAAGTATTATTCTTAACAGTTAAAAACTGAACTGAACGCAAACGTGTTGCTGGTAAGAGAATGGTCAGGTCAATCATGGCAATGAGAGGATGAAAGATTATACCCACAGATACATTTTAGTAATATGGAAAATATTTATAATGTTAAGCAAAACCCCCCACAAAATCATAAAGACAAAATAAAATCCCAGTTATGTTAAAATACATGTGTAGAAAATAAAAGGGAAACATAAGGGAATGTTCATGGTGACTGTCAGTGAATGATGGGCTATTGAGTTCTTTTCCTTTTTTTAAGCCCTCACTGGAGGTTTTTCCCCCACTGATTTTTAGAAAGCGTAGAAGGGAAGAGAAAAACATCGATGTGAGAGACAGATTGATTGGCTGCCTCCTGCACTCGCCCTGACTGGGGCCGGGGATTGAGCCTGCAACCGAGATACAAACCTATGACCCTGAAGGTCTTTGGGCCGATGCTCTAACCACTGAACAAACTGGCCAGGGCTGAGTTGTTTCCTTAAATGAGCCTACATTATTTTTATGATTAGGAAAACCAATGACGGTATTAGAAGCAGCATGCTAACTGGGAGTGAAGGCCACCAGCCGTCACCAGGCCAGCGGAGCCCTACCTTAATGAAGTGCAGCATAGTGAAGGAGAAGTGCTCGTTGCAGAAGCAGCAGTACACCACCATCTCCATGAGCGCCAGGAGCGAACCCGTCAGCTCACGCAGAGCAAACATCACCTGGTGCGAGGGACGAAAGGAGAAGCGCTCCTGTCAGCTAACTGTCAATAGGTTGTTTCTGGCTTTGACTGAAACAGACTCAGGTTTAATATCATCAGCACTGCCTCAAAATAGGGCTGCTTTCACTGCTAGAGCTCCATGGATAGATTTCAGGGTGTTTAGGTCTGCCTGACATTTAACACAATTTTGTGCAAATGTGCACCTTTTTCCTGAGTCGCTTTCATCAGATTTTCAAAGGTAAATGCCCTCTTCAAATTAAAGTAATTACTGATAGATCCCCAAAATACACAATGTTCAATTTAAAAAAGGTATGTAGCATAGCACTGTTAATGTAGTTACAAAACCAGTACGACACATGGATTCATATCTATGTAAATCAAGTTATGGAAGGACTGGAAGATTACATTCTCAAGAAGGGGCAGCGCTGAGTGGAAGGGGAGGTGATGGGACTGCAGGCAGGCCACACAGTGCTGTGAGCACCCCACTTCCATACTCCTGAGGTTTAAAAAACGTATGTGCCTCAGAGTTGTAGTATTTCAGGATCGGGGACACATATGAGACTGGGAACAAAACCTGATATTAAACTGAGTAATTGTGATTGGTGAGGTGCCATTTACCTACTGGGACCTAGAGGGGTAGTTAGTTGGGCCGAACCTGGAGGTCCAAGTCCATTTGAGAGATTGAAGAAAGGACTAATAACATTCTCTTCAACCGATTATTTCCTTCTGACATATACATAGGAAGAAAAATTAATGTGAAAGAATAATTTCTTCTCCTAACAATACCCTTTTTTATCAAAATATAACTAATAACAAATAACAAAAGGTGTTTTTCCTCAATGGGAGAAATAAAGAGAAAAACAGCTTTAGGAGAACAAGGACATACCTCCAACAGGTAAGGTTTTCCTTCAGACAAGAACAACAAGGCTTCTACTTCCTCGTGGAGGGGCAGCAGAGGGCTTGAAGGAGCAATGCTGATAGGTGGCCGTTGTTTAAATACCCCAGGAGCTTCAGGAGACCAGAGAAACAAAGCCTGTCTCACTTGACGCAATTTCATGAAACAGACATCTCTAACGCAAAGCCATTCATTCCCGCAAGCTTCACACACACAGCTGCTGAGTACTCACAACATGCTCTCTCACAGTCCGGGGAGGAAGCCAGACTTGGAGACAGGAGAAATGTTTACCTACTTATTTCAATGTCTGCCTAAGTTGTAGGTGTGACCAGTAAGCTCTCTAGACAATCTTTCAAAGAAGTAAAAATATAAATCGTATGTGGAAAAAATGCCCAATGTGACTCTGAATAGACACTGGACAAGACCCTTGTGTTCCTCAAACACCACCTATGCTAAGCAGAATTAACCCACATGGAAGGAGTTATTCCTTTTGCTAGAAAAACAAGAACTCACACTATTTTCTTCTACAAACCTATCTCAACTCAAGTTTAGGCAGCTTTGTCTTTTTAGATGAATGAGTCAGATTTAGGAAGCAAACTCTACCTCAAACCATCCAAGTGCTCCCCAAGTCCCTTTAGAACAGTGGTTCTCAACCTTCCTAATGCCGCGACCCTTTAATACAGTTCCTCATGTTGTGGTGACCCCCAATTTCATTGTTACAAATTGAACATAAAGCATAGTGATTAATCACAAAAACAATATGTAATTATATATGTGTTTTCCAATGGTCTTAGGCGACCCCTGTGAAAGGGTCGTTCGACCCCCAAAGGGGTCACGACCCACAGATTGAGAACCGCTGCATTAGAGGGTCAATAAGCATTGCTGGATCAGAGTGATGCGCTGTTATTTTTATCTCGTTTCTGGTGTTCAGATCTTACTGGTCATACAACACTGAAACCCAACCACAGCCTCTGGGTCAGAGGCTTGCATTCACACACTGGCTGCTATGCCACTTACTGGCCGTGGACTTGTGCAGTTACTACACCCTCTGTATCTTAGTTCCTCATTTACAGAAGGGGTAATATCCCTCTCACAGGTTTGCTGAGGGGATTATGAACACAACTGATGAACTAAAAGGACTATGGACAGGCACAGCACACAGAAAATACTGAATATTTTTCAGTGGCTTTGGATAACTATATAGGACAATTTGCGTCTCTTCTCTATTAAATGAGGACTGAACTACTGGGTATAGGTGACCAAGTAGTAAATGTTACCAGCGACATCATATATTCAAATGCATTTCAATGACTTAATGTACAGCTGAAATAAATCCCTTTGTTTTTACAAAGTACTTTAATACTTTATCTCATTAATCCTCAATATACTTGTGGGGTTATGTTTTTAGTATTTCCATTTCGTACTGAGAATCAGAGGGCCAGATGGCCTGGGCGAGTTCACACAGCTAGGAAACTAACCCACACAAAGGCAATTTTACCACTACATCAGTTGTGCCAATTATGGTAATGAATGAACTCCGAATTGGTCTTTGATTCTGAAGGCTTTTTAAAACTTACATACCCCTCTCCCCAAATAAATGATTTACTTTCCCTTGTGACAAACTAGTAAAATAAAGTGAAGTTTAACAGGAATTAAAACAATATCAAATAGCCAAATGAGGAACAAGTAATATCCATTTAATTGCTAACATTACCCTCCATGCACTACTGACAAATTCAGATTTTTCCGATGTACTAAAGATATGTTAAGCTCACCAACATTCCTCTGGGAAGAGACATCTGAATACAAAACAAGTAATGCCACTGTGTTGTGAAGATTCCCAAATTCTCGTGCTTGTGCGGAACTCCATCGCCGTATCTGTGGTCAGAGAACATGAAGTGGACGTTTGTGTTTTGATTAGAAATAACATGGCGAGGGAGGGAAAGGACCTGCTGGTTCATGATAATTTGGGCCACAATTATTTCTCAATATTTGATAGCAAAAGAGGTCAAAGTACAAAAAGCCATAGGTTTTGAGCTAGCTTAACAGTGTTTTCCCCTCAGACAATTAACTCACATTCTGAAATGAACCCATTCGTGTATTCTAAGTTAGGTATTGGGTGCTCACTATGTGCCAGCCAATTTCCCTGTACCTCAGTGTAATGGGGAAAACCCATGAGGCGGTGACCTGGGGGCCCAGCCCTCTGACCCCCCCACCCCCATTTACTATGCTGTGTGAGTGTGGGCACGTTATGGTAACACTGCCTAACCTCTTGGTGTAATGGTGGAGATAACCCACCTGCTCTGGCCACTCATGGCTGTGAAAACCAAATGAAACCTTAAAAGTGAAAATGTTTTCAATGCTATGGGCTCCATAAATGCAAAACAACAGGAGTCCTTGAAGCAGAAGAGCTTGAGTGAAAAATGGAGATTATAAATTTCAACATGATATCCTTACACTGAGCAGGCTATGGGGCCAGAGCTTGCTTGCTAATACTGACGAGTGAGAGAAGCACGGTGCAGATTGGGACCTGAGGAGGCCGGAGCAGCATGTCTGTCCCCTCTTATAAAGGAACGAAAACTCCTATGCGATGCGTTCCATTCAGGGGATACCGGAACTGGGTCTGAACCCCACTCCACAACACTTTAGCTCGGTGACCTTGAACAAGTCACTGAACTTGTCTGTGCTGTAATTCTCGCCTGAGAATGAGGATGAAACTGCCTAGTTTATTGAACTGTATCAGTGATATGGCATATAAAGGACCAGTTGTGTCTAGTATATAACAGGAGCTCTATAAATAGCATTCATCATTACTGCACCTTCATTTTAAATCTATCAAACAAAATCTATCACCAATATAGAAACTTCAACAGGAGAGCCAATTTTCACATATACCTAACTCGATTATTACAAAACAAGCTCCCTCCATTTCCTGAATATGAGCAGTAGTAAACCTGCAGCAGGATATAACAGTGTATAACAGTACAATTTCACATTTGAACTCTGGCCTTGTTATCAGCATTCCGGAAGTGACTGCCACCCGAACAGCCTTGCTGGCAGCACTAGACTCGCAGGGTTTTGAATCCTCCCATCAGGACCCATCTTTGCTGCTATAATACTTCACATTTTAATTGATACTCTAGTTAGTCATTTCCATAGGTTGTTATTATTAGGGAATTCTGAGAAAAGCTGCAAAAATAATTGAACTATAAAGAATTTTAAAGTCGATATAATATTAGTACCTGGACTCTTATGAGATTAAAAATATTTATCACCTACACAGAGAAGTAAAGTGACTACAAAACCATGGCTACCGAGGGGGCTGGCAAGCAGCATTACCTGATTGTTCTGGCGACTGGCCCCCAGGAGAAAGCTGATCATGTGTCGCAGAGCTGAATGCCGCAGGAGGAGGTCTCCAGCCCTAATACCTTGCTGTCACAAGATATTGAGAACGACAAATTATATTCCTATCCAGACAAAAATCAGTTTTAAAAACAGTTAAATGAGAAGTTTTAAGGAGTAAGTTTTAAAATGCTATAATCTATAATTATCTATAATAATAAAAGCATAATATGCTAATTAGACCAGACGTCCTTCTGGACGAAGCTGGGGCTGCGAGGGAAGCCCGGGTCCAGGTGCCTGTCTGTGGCAGGAGGGAAGCCCGGGTCCCGGGTGTCAGAGGGAAGCCGGTGCCGGCAGCGGGGGGAAGGAAGGCCTACTCTTGCACCAATTTCATGCATCAGGCCTCTAGTTTACATATAAAAATATTTGTTAAAAACCTAATTAAAAAAACTCTTTTGAGTTCCAATAGCCTCACATTGCTTCACAAAGGCTAAGAACACATAATTAGATACTAGTTTTAATGCAGATGTTTGCTGTCAATGAGTGTACACTTACCTGTATCCAACTTCCTGCAAGTAATATAATCCCTGAATTAAGATTTTAAAGAATAAACAGCCATAAGACCGTATCATATAAATTCAATATTGACCAGTCTATATTTTTCCATGTATAAAATTCCTTTAGACTATAAATTTTCTGTGTTATGAAAATATATTAGAAAAAAACCATTTACCTTTTGTACAAAAGTGTTGAACAGGAAAAAGTACTGAGCACAGTTTTTACAATTTTCTGGGACATCTTTATCCAACAGAGCAAGTAGTACCTCCAGTAACTGGTGAAGGCTTTTTAACTGGTCAGAGGAAAGATGAGATTACATAAAGAAAAACCATGTAAGACAGACATTTGCAACAAGATTAATTTGAAGTAAGTCACAAAGGAAAATCTGGTTGATACAATCCAGTCTCAGATTCAGATGGATTTATGCTTTGGAGAGCAAAAACAGAATGATTCAATTTTACCTGCCAGGGGAAGATTGGTACTATAGAAATACTTCAAAGGAATGCCTAGTTTTGTCTCCTAGATTTCAGAGTCAAGGGCATGATTCTACTGCCTAATGGGCACATTTTCTGTAGATCCAATTTCTCTGTCTCTTAGAAAAAGGGTGGGGGTGCTTAGAGGAAACCTATTTCTGAGTCCCTCCCTCCACTATGCTACTTCTTTACATAATCACAGATGCAAAGAATAAAAACACAGACACAGGCATAGGGGCTAGAAACCAAGCCGATGGAGCAGATGGAGAGCACAGCCTGACAGAATGACAACGGCAATATCCACTCAACTGGGAACTTACTTGAAAGCCCGCTGACGCCTCATGGAAAGCTTTGAAAAACATTTTATTTATTTAGAAACCATTTTGGTTATCACATTGCTTCTTCTTTCCCTCCCACCCAACTGCTTTTGGACAAGTTCCTAGAAATTCATCTGTGATCTGAGAATGAAGACCAAGCTTACTCTTACTATTTCTGTTGATTTATTTTCTTGAAGATGGTGTCCAGAGACTTTTAAAATACTCCCAACCATCCTGTCACATCAGTATAAGTACAATAAAATTTAGCATTTACATAGCACTTAACTTTCAAAATACTTTCCAATACAGAGTGGATGGCAAGAGGCACCATTTCCATTATGAGGGAAAAACTGACATAAAATGCATCAGCTGGATCTGGATATTCAATAGAATTTACTGAGGCAAACGCTTCCATGTTTTCACCCTGCACCACCACTCCTTCCCTTTCTACCACCTGCAGTCCTGCCTTCAGAGGTCACTGGGGTGATGGTGTGGCCTGACCCCATCTGTAGGGAGACTGCACTAACTCTATCGTTATCTTTTGTCTAGGTTGGTGCACGGGAGGAAGGAGAATGAGAAGGTCCTCATGCTAAATGTCTTACACAACTTCCACAGAGTATTTCAGAGCAATGGTCTCCAAACTGTCCTAAGCAACTCCCAATGACCTAGTTTATATGTTCTGCACTCAGGTAAGGTTTTGTTTGGAAAATGGTTCTGCTGTTTAAGCTGATTGAAAACCAATGCCTTAGAGTAAACCTCAACTTCCTTATAAATCCTGAATTGAGAGACAGTCTTCTGGGCCCTTCCTAAGGGCATATTCGACCTCTTTGTTCATTCTGGACTGAGCAGAGCTCCCTGGGTCAGGCAATGTTGAAGGAACCAAGTGCTTGGGTGTCAGGCACTGTATCTGGATTAAACATCTCCCTTACAGAACATGCTCAAGGTTGCATCACAAAGTTAACAACTGTATTTGAAGCAGCAATTTTTAGAATCTGCATTTAGTTCACTGAGACACACTGCCTCCAGCCAATGTTTAAGGAGCCAATTAGTTTTGAAAATAACATTTTTCAAAGTTTTCCATGTAGTGTCAGCTGTTTGAAACAGCAAACTTGGGAAGTAACTGCTGTATTTGCTAGCACTTAACAGACTGAATAATCAGACTTACAACATATGTCATTTATTTCTCTGGGTATTAAAATCTTTGGGGATTGAGGATGGTAATAAATACCCTGGCTTGTTTTGGCATGTGTAGAATTTTGAACCAGAAAATATGTTACAGAAAATTGGGTTAGAAAAAGAAGAAATTCAGAGGAACAAAACAGATTAGAGAATAATGAAAACCAATGAAGGAACTATTTTGGCCAATGACCCTGAACGAATTGCAGTATTTGGTTTGGTTGCCAATTGTAGGTTTAGGTCATAAAAATAGCTCATGAGGAAAGAGACAAAGCCAGGGGTGGCTCAAAATGTCTAAGGATCTAGACGAGAGCCTCTAGACTCAGGTTAGCCTCAGTGCAGAGATCAAATACAAACTATTGAGAGAAGACTTTGAAAGGAGAGTGTTCTAGAGAGAAAATTCTGAAGCAGACCAACGCAGACCTCAGTTCTTGGCCTACCTTGGTTTTTGGGGTAAGAGGAGGAAAAGTCAGAATGCCTTCTACTTGGCATTCATCACAAAGTCAGTTCACAGAGGGTACATTTTATGTGGAGAAATTACCAGCTTGCAATCCTAGGTTCTCTTTCTTATTATGGCCATTTTATACTTTTGGTAAAAATAGAATGTATAAATAGAAATTTAAACATGAGGCTGACCTTGTCCTGATAAAACAAGGCACTGTCCAGGGTTTTCTCCAGAATGGTGGCCACAGCGACTCGCACTTCTCTCACATTGCACTCCAGCAAGAATATCCTAAAATATAGAAGTGTGGTGTAAAAAAGCAAAACAGAACTCTGTAAGTCAACCTTCCCAACATGAGTCCCACTTGCAATCCAAGAAACAAAATTACTCCAAGATGTTAGTTCAGGTCTTCTGAGAGCTTTGGTACAGCTCGTGGCCACTGTGGAGGAGGAAGGCCAAACAGGAAAGCAAGACCCCTGAACACGGAAAAGTGAAGCCCTTCCTTCCTCTTCCTCTCTTCCTCAAAATGAGTATCTGTATAAATATAAATTGAACATTGACCAAATAATCTAAAATTTTATGAATTCTGTTCATTCAGGAGCAGCTCTCCTGGAACCCCTTCAATTTCTCAGAATGAGATACTAGTTAAAGCTTGGAGCCAAGATAGCACCCTTAGGACCCCCTGTGCACCAGACTGTGGGCCCCTGAAGAAAGGGCCTTGTATTTTGGGTTTTAGGATGTGGCTACCTGTGAGCACTTGGCCATCTGCACACATGCTCTCCTTGCATTCTCCTTGAATACCCTGAGTCTAGTCTAACAGAGATGGTTTGGGAAGAATGATTTTTTCCTCACTGCTTCATTGGTGAAGAAAGTTTAAAATTGATTCCAATCAGAAATATAATTTCAAGTTGAAATAAAAAGAGTTACAAGAAATGTCAGCTCCCAATCACTGGAAGAAACACAAATTTCTTTTAATTAAAAATCTTGACACTTACTTTATCAATTCTCGTCCTTCAGAACCAATAAAATATTCAACTAGCCACTGACAAGCATCAAAACTTTTTGAAAGTAATGCTTCAATAGTGGCAATCCATTCTTCAGTGTCAACCCTTTAAAAAAAACAAAGAATATTAGGAGTACAGTCCCTGCAAATAACCCCATGGAGTATCACTCCACTGTAACATTCTTTAAAACTGTTTTGGAAAGTGAGGAGGAGTTAATACTCAGTGACTGTAACTAACATGGCTCCATCACCCAAGAAGCCAGTGCTTTGCAGTCTTTGGTATTTGTGTGACTCATCCTGCCCCCACCCCCCACCCCATAAAAGAATAAAGTGTAAAGAAGCTATCTGCATCTTCTTCAAAAAACTTGAATTGCCAAAAAAAAAAAAAAAAAAAGCCTGAACATTTTGTTTTGCTTAATTGACATTCACAAAATGCCTACATCCTATACTTTTATATGTTAAGTAACCAAACAATTTCCTTAGTCAATCCTATGCCAGACACGACAAGAAACATTTCTTCTTTTTCAATCAAATAATAAAGCCTGGTATTTAATATATTCTTTATTATTACACATAAAAATGAAATGTCATTATATCTGTTATCATCTCAAGAGTTTCTTGATTGCAAATCTTTCTAAAAACCTCTCCATACTTGTGCTAGAGAGAGGAGCTTGAGAATGTCCATGGTCTTCTGTTAACTGGCCTCCCCACCCTGAGCCTCCCCTTCTTGCTCCAGGTATATCCTACAAACAACCCAACTACTCTCCATCCTTCAGTTTCTCAACCACATTTACCCAGAGCCTGTAAGGTGTCAGGCACCTTACCAGGTGCTAAAGATAAAAACCAACGAGACTAACATGCAATCAGAGTCGAGTTTCTATGGCATGCTTCTGAACACACCGACCCCGTTTAAGAACCCTCCCCGATCGCCCACTGAACAAAGGCCGCTCCCTTCTCTGGCACTCAGTGAGCTCATCAAACCCAACATTCGTCTCACCTCAGTAAGTTCCTTAAATGTACGAGTAAAACACTGGTCATTCATAGTTCTTTAAGCAAGTCTTACCCATTACTCAGGTTTTTCCCTTCCACCAAGAATAATAACTGTCGCCATACTTTTGCCTTTCAAAATCATCTGAGAACACAAGTGTCTTCAATACCAACCCCATCCCACATCTGGGTATGATTCTGCCCAGTTTCCAAAGTTGTACAGCATTTATGCCTTGTATCACAGTTACTGCTCTGTTGAATCTATTTTTTTTTCTACTAGATTAGAAATTCCTTATAGATAGAAGCCATTAATCATCTGAGTACAGTTGGTAGTTTCCAACTATCTAAAACAATGTTTTAAAAAGCTGAATTCAGAAATTCAGCTTTAATTGATTTAATTAGTGCTTTTTGCCATGACAATCAAAACATATCACTTCTTACCTGAGTTTTTTCTTTGTCCGTAGATAAGTTTGAAAAAGGAATTGAATGGCAAGCTGTAGGCTTACCTTTGCCATGCAAGGATAGTATGGATGCTTTAATTTAGTCTGATGGGGGGAGAAAAACAGAGAGGATACTTTTTCTTAGAAGTTTTATAGATTATTACACATTGTATGAACTAAATGACACATGATAAAATTCAGTACTAATAAGAAAAATCTAGCCAGCCATTATAGAAAATGTTCCAGTTAAACTTTAAGAAAGACACCTTCATTTTTTTAAGTCCTCTCAAAACAGTCTTTATTTATATTAAAATTTTTTTTTGTTGTTGATTTCAAGAGGAAGAGAATGGGAGATAGAAATATCAAGGATGAGAGAGAATCATGGATCAGGTGCCCCCCCACATACCCCTTACTGGGGATCGCGCCTGCAAATAAGGCATGTGCCTTGACCAGGAATCAAACCATGACCTCCTAGTTCATAGGTTGACACTCAACCATTGAGCCATACCAGTTGGGCAAAAAGAGTGTTAAGTAATCTATCAAAAGACTGATAAAGTTTTCCTCTTATTAGCAAATTATAATCATGGTACTCAAGAAACAGAAGTACTTCGAAGTGCTAGTAATGTCTAATTACAAATTAGGAATAATTAATCTCCACAAAGCCCAATATCCAATGATATTACCTAATAGCTACTCTTAGAGTCATCATAAAATTTAAATAGCACTTTAAAAGCCAGTATGTGGAAACCCACACCCATCTACAACTTGCATGACATATTACAAATACTGCCTGTATTTTAATATAACTCAATAAGTTACACATTTGTGAGAATATTTTGCATTTCATCTAAAGGTTAACAACTGAGAGTGAACATGAGTCATTGAACATTTTAGCTGAAAGTTGTTTAATTATAATTCTTTCTTACTTTAGTAACAATCCAGCTAGTACTTACAGCATTCAATGATGCTAAAGACAACACAAAACTGAAATAATCACTACTGTACACATCTCTATTCTTCATAAACTTGAGGTTTTCATCTCTCACCATCTACAAAAGAAAATTAGCAATTGTTTTAAAGAAACGGTAAAATATTCAACATGTAAAAGACATTTTTAGTGATATGTTAGGTAAGAAGGATTTGTAACTCTACTCTCAAGCTCTGAATTTTTTTAAAGAGAGGAAAATCTTCATATAAGAAGTTGTAAAAAGATTAATTACTATTCATTAAACGAAATCCTTTTGGAAAATTTAGGAAAACCACCATGTGAAGGACAAGTGAAGTCTAACCTATTATTCTGGGTAGGAAGGAACAAACAGAGCTTTCCCAAGTAGACTCCATATTCTTAAATTCTCTGCTGTGGCTACTCAGCTCCTGTTTACTTAGTTTAGAAAGTCTGAACTGGTAGTTAGACAGTTCTGAATTTTAATCCTATCTCTGAGACACTAGCAGGTCATTTTGCCTTTTCTGAGCCTAATTTTTTCCATCTGAGAAATGGGAAGAAAACCTTCCATCCCACAAGAGTGTCTTAAGAATTATGGATTTGTTTTAAAGTGTGTAGCATAGAGTAGGTATTCAACAATTAATGGTCATCACTGACATATTAGTGTTACCCCCCAAAAGTTATAAACTTTAACTTATTTTTCTCTCCAGCTACAATAAGTTAATTTTAGCTATGTGGTGTTTTTTTGTTGTTGTTGTTATTTTTTTTTACTGCCCAGGCCTTCTATTTATTTATCTTTGGCATCCTATAGCCACATGGAAAGTGGTGATGGTGGGGTCAATCTTGAGTTTGTAGCCACCTTTATGACCTGATATGAAAGATTTGTGACACACGAGGGTAAGAAGATGTTGCACTAGAGATACAGCTAAGTCTACAAGATAACCAGCTGGAGTTCTTCTGGATCTACGAGACGGATTTTAACACTATCTGAATTCTCTCTCTAAGAATTATACAGTTCTTACCTGATATATTCGAACAGGCATTTTCTCCACAAACAGTCCTTTCTTCTCTCCTTTTTTAACCAGTTTGGTTAGAATAGAGAGCCGGTCATTGTTAGGCCTATGGGGCCTAGGGGATGACTGAGGTGAAATTTCTGGTGAAGAAGGTGCTGATCTAAGAGACAGAATCAGAAAACTGACTAAAGTGGCTATTGTTTTAGTAGTTCCTAAAACCTAACAAACCTACAAAATCTGGGTACTGGATTTAAAAATAAATTAATTGTATACTCCCCTAATTCAATAATTTAAACTCAAATTCACAGAGAATACAATAAAAAAACTTTCTGACTGAAGTGCTTACTATGCTTTGAACATAAAGTTTATTCAATAACATGCTGGGATGAAAAAAATCTCACTTCTAATAAAATAATTTATACACATTTTTCTAAATACAAAATAACTTTTTGCCAAGGGAACAATGACCAAGTAGCAATAAGAAGAAAGAAAAGGGATAGAGCAGTTTAGTTATTTTTTTAGAATTTCTCTCTAGCTTAGCAAATTACACTTAAATACCAAACAGTATAAAGATCACAATATCCCCTACTGAATTCACACAATTACACAGAAAATAAACTCACAGAGAGAGATCCTCAGCTTCCTGCCGCACAACGCTGACTCGACTTTTCTTTGGTAAGACTGGCGAGTTCTGATCAGATACCCGTTGGTAGAAGAGCATATAGGCATTCCAGTATCTTCGGCGAACATCAGTATATGGATTTGCTTTATAACAAGACATTAAGAAAGAAGCAAGTAAACAAAAGTTTTCTTGTCTTAATCCAAAACAAAGGACCCATAAATCCAGCAAGTAACTACTTACTAAATTTGTTAAATGCAAAGTGTAGGTAAAATGTGTGTCTTTTTAGAGTACTGCTTAGAATTACTTGGAGGGTGACATAGAGGGGCAGGGAGTAAAAGAGTTGTATGGTAACACAGTAAGGGAAAGAAGGTAAATATTCCAGGCAAGTCTCAATTCAATAAAAAAGTAACATCCTATATAATAAAGAGATAATATGCAAATTAACCCTCACACATCACAAGATGGCTGAGCCCACAGCAGGGGTGGGGTTCCTGTAATGAGCGATCAGCAGGGACCTGAGGCTGCGTGGTGCTGGACCGGGGCGGGGGACCTCAGGCTGCGCCCCCTGCCCGGCAGGGCTTGACGGGGGACCTCAGGCTGCACTCCTGGGCTGGCGCCAGGCCAGGGGACCTGAGGCTGCGCCCCCCGCCTGGCGGGGCTTGATGGGGGTGGGGCTGGCCGGGTCTGGATCTCGCCCAATGGGGGTGGGGCCAGCCGGGTCTGGGTCTTGCATGATTTCGAGGTGTGCACGGGTAGGCGGGGACTTGACTCTGGGTCCTGCGGCGCGCCCCAGACTCTGACAGGAGGGAGATTTTCATATACATTTTACTAATTTTCTTTCATCTCTGACATTTCTATTATAGAGAAAGGGCAAATAGCAATATTAAAATATTTCCTCTAATTAATTCCCTTTCAATGTGCACGAATTTTGTGTACCGGGCCATTAGTCTATACTAATAAAAGGGTAATATGCTAATTAGACCAGGTCGACTGGACATCTTCTGGACGTCCGACTTCCTTCTGGACAGTTAGGGGGCGATCAGGCTGGCAGGGGGGCAGTTAGGGGGTAACCAGGCTGGCAGGGGGGCAGTTAGGGGGCGATCAGGCTGGCAGGGGGGCAGTTAGGGGGCGATCAGGCCAGCAAGCAGAGGTTGTTAGGGGTGATCAGGCAGGCAGGCGAGTGGTTAGAAGCCAGTGGTTCCCGGATTGCAAAGAAGGGATGTCCGACTGCCTAAGTCGGCAGTCGGACATCCCCCAAAGGGTGCAGGCCGGGCTGAGGGACCCCTCCACCTTGTGCACGAATTTCATGCACCAGGCCCTCTAGTTTAAAAAATAAATTCTGTGGCATAGGATGGAATTATAATTGGCCTCGCTTAATCATTTATGTATAGAACAGTCAAATCTATGTAAATTTTGGTAAGATAGTACCAAAGGCTACCTAATTAAAGGCTACCAACATTAGATGCACAACCACCATGGTATGGTATCCAAATCTAATACAGTGAATCTAATAAAAGTAGAAATTTTAAAATGTTTCCAGAATATTTTAAAATCAGATTTCAGAAATGCTAAGGTCTCTGCAAAATGTTTTTTCTTTAAATAGCAAATTCTGACTGAATTTTGTGACATATTTTGGCTCATACATTTAAAAAATATATATATTTAGTGGATTTTTCACAGAGAGGAAGGGGGAGGAACAGAGAGTTAGAAACATCGTTGAGAGAGAAACATCGATCAGCTGCCTCCTGCACACCTCCCACTGCGGATGTGCCCACAACCAATGCACATGCCCTTTGACCGGAATCGAACCTGGGACCCTTCAGTCCATAGGCCAACGCGCTATCCACTGAGCCAAACCGGCCAGGGCTGGCTCATACATTTTCTAAGGGTGGGGTTGTGGAAAGACTCCTTCGAATATTAAGTGTGGCTTTAAAAGCACACTTAGAAATGTCGTCTTTAATTAATTAATTAATTAATCACACCTCTATAGAAGTGAAAAGGAAACCTGAAAATTATTTATTTATTTGTTTTAAAATATATTTTTATTGATTTCAGAGGAAGGAGAGGGAGAGACAGAAACATCAGTGATGAGAACCATTGATTGGCTGCCTCTTACACGTCTCCTACTGGGGATTGAGCCCATAACCTGGGCATGTGCCTTTGACCAGAATCAAATCCGGGACCCTTCAGTTTGCTGGCCGACCCTCTATCCCCTGAGACAAACTGGCTAGGGCAGAAACATGAAAATTTTAGTGGATAACTACTTCTTTTGAAACTATTTTTAAGGTTGGAATTCTCTTTGATATTCATTTTACTTACACCTCCCCCCCATATTTCTCCAAGGCTGTTTTAAGAAATTATTAAAAAAAATTTTTTTGTAAGCAGCTTGAACATTTTTACTCTGGCTATCAAAGAGCTCATGGACCTATATAGAGTAGTGGTGTGTAAAAAGAGTGAAATCTCTTCTATTTTTATGTAAATAAAACTGCTTCCACCTTGATAGAAAATCCTAACTCAAAAAAAAAAAAAAAAAAAGAAAAGAAAGAAAGAAAGAAATTTATGGAAAATATCCATTTGTAAATACTTACTTTGATCATAAACTTTTGGTCTATATTCTCCTCCAAAGCATTCATATTCCAGGGTCTCATCATTTAGGTCAAATTCTTCTATAACGGTGTCATTAAATTTATACCACTTTCCTTTTCCACATCCCCTAGAGGCCACAGAAAAAACAAACATTATAATAAAAAACAATATCCCATCTCCAGTATTTATTTCTTTGTATTGTCTATAAATATAGCAGGTGATTACCATTTGAAAATACCTAAGAAAAATACAGCAACAGTTATTCTAATTTCTAAAACAACTTTGCAAACTGAAGCATAAAGACGGTTACAATTTTAAAAATGCAATATTAAATAAGACCAAAGAACAATGCAAAGCTTCTTTGTATAATAATGGTAAGTGTGGGTGATAAAGTAGGGCAGGGGGAGCAGAGGACAGATATACAGGAGGGCAGGGGAGTGGAGGATAGATATACAGGAGGGCAGGGGGGTGGAGGACAGATATACCGGAGGCAGGGGAGTGGAGGAGAGATGTACAGGAGGGTAGGGGAGTGGAGGACAGATATACAGGAGGCAGGGGAGTGGAGGAGAGATGTACAGGAGGGTAGGGGAGTGGAGGACAGATATACAGGAGGGCAGGGGAGTGGAGGATAGATATACAGGAGGGCAGGGGGGTGGAGGACAGATATACAGGAGGGCAGGGGAGTGGAGGACAGATATACCGGAGGCAGGGGAGTGGAGGAGAGATGTACAGGAGGGTAGGGGAGTGGAGGAGAGATACTGGAAGAACAGAGAGGGACTCTTGGGAGAACCCCTTACCGCCTATCCTTAATGAAGGAATAGTAGTGGCCCGCATGTGCCTGCCCACTGTGTACGATGACACCGACAAGTTCATAGTTTTCTGTGAGGGCAACTTTCTTTCGTGGAGACCCTCCACCTCCCTGATCCATACTTCGTCCATTTTCACCAACTTCAGAAGATGAATCTTGGCGAGCCATTCCTGAAACTGTGTACGGCTCCATGTTTAGCATCCAGGGAAACTGAAAAGCAAAGGAGCACATTCATGTTGATTAGTAACGTAAACTGCCATACCCAATTAAGTCAGACACAAAGAAGGGGATGAGTGTTTCCTACTGTAAGCTAGAACTACCTCTCCAATTTAAGTTTAAAACCTCCAAATGGCTCACAATCTGGGAGCGTACAAGTGGCCTCTCCTTGAGCGTTAAGGAAAGCATCCGACGTCACAGCTGACACCAGGTGCCTCTGCACATGAGGGTCACTGTTCACGGTCACACACAGTTCCACTGGCAGCAGCTGCTCGGACAAGGGCTACGTACTCCTCAGAATGCTGAGGCTATAGCCTTTCACACTTTACATGAAATTTGAAAATATTAACAGAAAATGATAAAAAGTGAGCGAGGCAGTAACGGTTATAAAAACTTTCAGGGGGAAAAAAGTTACCTTTATCTGTTCATCATATTTAATGGAGCGTCCACTTTCCCAGTCAAATCCGAATCTCATTAGGTGAATGACCAAGACACTAGGTAAAGACTTAATACAGGTCCTTTTGACTGTTATTCTCTAAAGAAAAGCAAAACCCAATTAGCTCCTTGGAGAAAATAAAACAGCCAAGTAAATAATACAAAGGTCATAGGTTTCTCTAGGCCTTACCACCTGTGTAAACACAAGGGATGACACAATCTAACGGAAGTAACAACAGAGCTTAAAAGTGATCTTACATAAAGTACATGGAATAAAAGATTAAGCGAGTTTTATAAAAAGGGCACGTGAAATACCTTTTCTTTACACTTTTCACAGTAATAGGCATTACTTCCCTCTAGAACTTCTCCTCTAACAAACTGGTCCAAAGAAATTTCCAAACTCTGACAGGAAGTAACTCCTAGATTGAGAGCCATGAAAGCTTCCTCTCGCTCATATCTGATTAGGAAATAACAGAAAAACCATGATCAACAACGAAATTTGAAAAGCTTTAAAGTATCATAATACCTGAGATTAAACACAAAACTATTCACAATCAGTGAAATTAACCATAACTTTCCTCATCCTTTAAAAAGTACACTACCAAGTTAAAATAACCAATTTGACAATTCAGAATTGCTTAAAATTATGAATTTCAACAAAGAAATTTTAGAAATTGAAAGCAAAGAAATCTAATTCAATAAACACTTATAGATCCACTGAGAGAGAGATATGCAAGTCTCTCAACAAATGCAAAGTTCATAACCTACTAGAAGAATCACTTAGTTATAATAATCATTTTTTAAAATATATTTTTTATTGATTTTTTACAGAGAGGAAGGGAGAGGGATAGAGAGTTAGAAACATCGATGAGAGAGAAACATCGATCAGCTGCCTCTTGCATACCTGAAGCATAAAGACGGTTACAATCCTTGGGGATGTGCCCGCAACCAAGGTACATGCCCTTGACCAGAATCGAACCTGGGACCCTTCAGTCCGCAGACCAATGCTCTATCCACTGAGCCAAACCGGTTAGAGCTATAATAATCATTTTTTAATGTTAATGATATCTTCACTAACCTGTGAGGACAGTCTTTACAGATTTTCTGATCAGAATAGATGCCTTGAAAAGTATTCTTAAAAATTTGGTCTCTTCCCATTTTCTGTTGGAATAAAAAGTTCATAAATTTTCAGTTGATACACCTAGAATTTATAGGTTGTTTACACAGAATTTTATTTAGAACAAACTAAGCTAAAGCACAGATGTCAATGCAACCACCAAAATAAAAGAAGTCATCTTGGCAGTTTAATCTGGGAACTAATTGAAAGGATTATAACCCATTAGACCCACTGTTACGAGTGATCAGAAAAGGCGGAGGAGAGAGGTCAGTCAGAGTTGCTGACAGGACAGCACTCTCCAAGACCAATTCCTTCTTCCCACGCCTCACTCACAAGGCAGTACCGACTCTCCACAATCTTTTCTTTTCCCTTGCAGACAATGCTATAAATTTAGAAAACGTGCCTACCGCTGAGAAGAGAGGCACATGTAGGCAGTAATGGGAGGCTGCCTGTAACTTAGAAGGCAGTACCATTTAGGAAGTCTGTCACATGTTTAAAGCTTTGGGTTTAAACATCACCACAAACAACTTTTAATCTAGTCCTTTTGTTCCCTTTGCCAAAGCAAGACAGCTCTGCATGGGGCCACCAGTGCTTACAGCACTTCTCTGAGGCCAGGTTACTTTAATGCATGCAGGTAAGAGTAGGCAGATACAAATGATTATTATTATGGAGTGTAGACTGAGAATCACATACTTTATCAAGTGTTAAATGAAATAAGAAGAAATGTATAATTTTAGTGATCTGTATATGTTTTGATGTTCAAACCCAGAAGAAATGATATATAGTTGTTGTATGCAAGATGATCAATTTCTGACTTGTCAGTTTCACAGCAGTCCCAAATCCTAAACCACTGCTCTTATACTAGTTTGAGGGGTTAGAGGGAAAATAAAACTTTGTCTACCTTGAGATATTCATCCATCTGATCAATGAGGCTAGTGAAGAACTCATATGCATCCTGTTGTTCTCTCACATAAAGTTCTTTGTTCCACATTTTGAAAATCTACGTAACAAGAATTAAATGTCATTAAAGGAAAAGTAGCAACTTCTGAATATGATAGAAAAAGGATGTAAAAGAGCACTTAATGCTTCTAAAAACTAAGTTCACTATTAGGATGCAAACGTTTTTACTGAAGTGAGATGAGCTTGTGTTCAGCCATTCATGCTTTTCTCTGGTCCCTTTGCCATCCTAACAAGTCTATGAAACCACAGGATGAGAGCCAAGGCCATGAACAGAGAGCTTCTCTCTTATAAACTAACCCACCTATGGGGGAAAGTACAAGCTACTCCTCCCGTGAAACACAGAAAAGCAATGTTAAAAAAGAATGTTCTTTATTTAGAGGTATTAGTGAAATTGGCACAGGTTCTGAGGAATGAGTTGAACAAATACTTGAAACAGCTAAAATAAGAATCATGAGAAATATCCAAAGTAATTAAGATGAGCAAATCCATAGAAATTACAAATGACTATTCTAATAACTTGAAATCAAGGACCAATTTCAAGAATGGTATAGACAACTCTTCTGTAGGTTCTGGCAATGGGATTAATCTAGAATTAATAAAGACAAGAGACAACTATCACTAGAGAAAGAATGTAGCCAAACTCCAAATATTCAACATCTTTAAATCTAGAGTTACTGGTGAAATACCTTCCAAAAATTCTCAGGTACATAATACTGCAGCTTGCTTTCCATCAAATGCCCAAACAGAGACTGCACTTGGTAGAATACACTATCATCTGGATTGTCAGTGTCGTCATCCACTGAAAGTAACGCCTGAAAAGACACGAAGTGTAAAGTTAGAAATATTTAACTGTTTTACAGATAACCTTGACTTATGTACGTGGGAGTCCATACATTATTCTTTTAGAATGCTACGTGTTTGAATGTGACTGTAAAAATATTTCTAAAATACTAAAAATGTTAGCAACTTAAATAACTTAGGAGTTCAAATATCACATGTGAATTAGGTCAAACCCATCTGTCAAACAGGCAACATATTACTGCAGCAGATGTATAAAAATGTGCGACTACTCTAGCATTATTTCAGGAGCCACTGAAGAATACTTAAGTATTCTAATTTTAGTAACCCCCAAATCACACTATATGAATGTGGAGCAATTTTCAGGCAATGTGCACATTACTTATCACACCCAACAGGCAAGAGGAAGGAAATCACCTCAGGGAGACCGGGCTGCATGTACAGCTGCTGGAAGACGGCGTTCATGTAACATGTGGCGCCACCATTCCTCAGACCCACAAACCCTGCACTGGACCTGCTGTCCACGGGGGGGAGGTACTAGGAAGGAGAGGAGGAGAAACAGGAGAGAATTAGTGCCTGCCATCAGCACACGTCCTCATAGCTCTAATATAAGGGGGAAAGAGATAAACTCAGATTTATCCATCCAGCGTACTGTGAGTCAAGCTAGCAAAACCTGTGTTCATGAAGTAGCTCTGCAGATGCTGACACAATTATAAATATACTATCATCTCAATGTTTCTTTTTAGTTCATAAAGTACACAGCATATAAGCCAGAAACTATGCCAGGATACGAGAGAGAGCTCAAATGTACCCTGATCTCAAAGGAGCTCACAATCTAGTAGGGTAGATAGGCATTGATCAAGTAAATATACTAATACATATTTACAAATTGAGGCGATACTCTGAAAAAAAGGAAAAAAAGGATTAGGGTTCTATGAAGTGTTTACTCTGAAGAATCCTGATCAGGCCAGTCTAGATGGTCAAGGAAAGCACATATTCCTTATCTTCCTTTCTGAGAAGGGAACACTCTTCTACTCAACTTCCTCTAATAAGCACACAATTAAATAAACAGGTAAATGCCTTAGCATTTCATGTAAAGATGTTTGTAATAATGTAGATCCCAGTGCAGCACTTTTCTACGCACAAATAATCAAGAAAGGGCAACTTGGATAAAGTTCAACATGGCACTTCTCCAAGTGGAAAGGTATTGTAATGACATTCTCTTAAATTCTGTTACAGCTGAGTCTCTCGATTCTAATGCCATGACCAGACCCACGTTATCTGCAAATATCAAGTATCTGTATCCATGTAATACCTAACCAACTGACAAGACCCTGTTGATCTTTTGAATGGAAAGGAACATATTACATACGTTTTATTAACATTCAACATACACTTAGAGCAGGGTGATTTCTAAGATCTAATTACCACTGTAATTTACTTGTAGTCCAAAGCATAGATTAAAAAAAAAAAAAGTTAAAAAATAAGAAAAACTGGTTTATAACAGTGCTAAAAATATATTTATAAGACATTTTTCATTATGCTGCTATAATTCCTGATTTATGAAAATAGAATTTCCATTTTAATCTGATTACATACATGTAAAACTATGCATCACATTTTACTCTGCAAGTGCCATTTTCTCTAGAACGCCTGTTCCCACTTCCTTTCCTGCCTACACTGTATGTTTCACAACACTCAGCTCAAGTGACTGTGATGTTAGTGGAGAATGTACAAGCAGCTGTACAGGTGCCCTCCCACTCCTGGTCCGATACTCCAGGGCACCCCAACTTGCTTCCCTCTTGCAATCCCAACATATAATGTGCTGCTCCAGGGCTCCACAGGTTTGCCCACAGCTGGACTGACCTTGCCACCTTGCTTCAATGGGCTCACAGTCTTTAAGGCTCTATTTTAAATTTCACGTTTTCTAAGAAGCCTTCCAAAACACCACCACCTGGTGGTAAAGTGTCTCTCTGTTAGTAGAGTGTTCCACACATACCTCTATCTTAAATTTGATCCCATTATATTGAAATTACCTGCTTATGGATCTGTCTCTTCCATTATACACTGACCTTGAGGGCTGGGATCAATCTTTCATTTTGAGCTCCAAAAGCCCAACACACCTCTTAGCAAATAGTAAACTCAATCAATCTTAGTTGAATTTAACTGAACAAAGACTGCAGTGTGACAAAGCCAATGCTTATTTGTCTCTAGTGTCTTGCCAAGCATAAACGTACTCAAGAAATAGGTTGAAATGCTGCTTTTTACTGAGAGTAATTATTAACCGACTTGAAAATGTATCCTCTTTAATTAATTAAAAGGGTACCATAGATTATAGTTGACTTGAGTATATAAACATGATAAGTAAAAGAGTAATCCTGACTTTCTTTGTGATTAGAAAAATGAAAACATAGTTTTAAAAATTCTATGTTTAGGAGACCACTCTAAAAAAATTAAGTGCACCAAAGTCTAGAAAACGTACATCAAACTCCTTGGTAAGAGCAGGGTCCGGTTGATGATGCATGGAAAGTAGTTCTTTTGTAATAATTTGAAGATTTGAAGGTGAGCTATCAGCCAACATTACAAGGACTTCATAGGCTGCCAATCGGCTATTCACTGTACTACACCTAAAAACAAAAGACACAAGTCAATTAGTCCAAGTCAATTTTTGCAATGAAAGTACAAGAGCTGCAATTCCCCAAAGAGTTAGGTTAAGTCAGGTCTGCTGGCAGAACTCTAGAAATCTAGTGGGAGTGCTGACTTAACAAAGGCGGAGGCCATGAATACTGGAGGGATGAATATGGTTTAGAGCTAAATATCTTTGTGGCCTGATGATGAAGTAGTAAAATCTGTCATGTATGATTCCAGAGTATTCTTATCTATGGGATATATCAGTAAAAACAGAGGATAGTCTGAAAATTTTACCAAAATCACAACATGGAAATAACTATTTTTCAATTAAAGTAGATAGCAAGAAAGGTTTCTGTAGATATCATCCTGAAATTCAAATATCTAAAGGGCAGAAAAAGAAAGCTATGGAAATCAGAATAGATGCCCATAAACATTTTATATGTGCCTACAGCTAAAATATTTTTCAAGAACACTAATCAACTTTCCATTTTGCAGAAAAAAATGGAGACAAAAATACATAATTTTCTCAATCAATATGTTTAGACTGCTCACCTTTAATGATTATAATTTTGGGGATCAATAGTAATTTCTCACTATCACCTATGCCACCCTTGCAATACTATGATCACAGGTTAGGAAGGATACACAGAAAAGAGGACATCCAACCTCTGAAAGAAACACTTAGGAAGTGGAGTGTAGATGTGCTCACGAGGGGGCGGTGAGGCTTTCAGATCAGCACTGAGCCAGCCACTGAGGCGTGGACTTCTGGGTTGCAAAGGACAAGAATGAATAGGAGGTACCACATACACAGGCTAAATGTTAAGAAGTTCTTTTGCTGTTAGTGTGATATGAAAATGGCATTACTGTGAAAGAGTTTCTGTGTATTTTAATCTCTTTCTGGCTTTATGATTCAGGAAAATGCTGGGAGTAATTGGGATAAATGAACACCATTCGGTGCACTGAGGAGAGATGAAACAAAATGTTTCCTTTTCTATTCAAGGCACTATATATGATTTAAAAAATAACTCCTGTGGATGAAGGTTTTACTTTTAATAAAGATAAAGTGAAGAATTCACGAATAAAAATTTCTGTAAAATTGAAAATTTATTTTCTCTGTTCACTAAAAATTAATGTACTCATATATTTCTACTGCTTTAATAAAAGACTCCCATGGAGTTAGTACCAATCTTCTAGAACAGGTTGGGACAGGACTAAGGATTGGAGTCACTCCATCCTGAGGGACATTCCAAGAGTCCTAATGAAGGCTTCTTACCTAAAACAGATTATGCTAATAAGGGATCTCTAAGTGGAGAAATATTCCCACATAAGATTCCTTTAGGGTTCCATAAAATATTGCTTATTATGCCTTGCCCATTTCATTAACCACTGAATTATGTAGGAATTTTTTCCACTGGATAAATGCCAAATCTTCAGTTTCCTCAGGATTACTCAATTAACTCTGGTTTTCATGAGAATAGAACAAAGTTAGATTCAGAGCAAATAACCTCCTATCTTTAAGAGCATAAGCACCACCCATGTAGGGTTAGTATTACAAAAGGATCTTCCACATTTCTACCCACAGAAATTAATATGGAAGTTGATTCTAAAATTACCACTGTAATCTATCACAAACAGTTTTATTGATCAGGAGCAGTCACTACTCAGCAATCCTCGAGGTTCATGCACTAAAGCACCTATACTTTTCTTCTAGAAGAAACCCTCAACACTCAGAACCTGAACCTACTGACTTTCACTTTGGACTAAATTCTGACAAATTCAGTTTCTCTTGGAATTTGTTACTGACCAAATTAACCACATTATTACTTATTCTCTTTCGATGGAAACAATGGTACCAGCATACTTGCTCAGCACGTACTGTGTGCCAGGCAGGCTTTATCCTAAGTCTCTTTACATGCATTTCTTTGTATAGTGGCTAAGATCTTATAAGCTATGCACACTCACAAGATAGAAGACAAACTCCAAGTTAAGAAAATCGTTTTGGACTAATGTTTTGAATTAGAATTTTTACCAAAACTGAACACAACGTGCATTTTCCATACTTTGGATGAAAGTCCTGTTGACTGATGGCGGCACTGCCAGCTGGAGAATGACTATTTAAAATAATTCTAGAAGCTCGGAAAAGGAAGTCATCTAACAATGGTTTAATGAGTGATGAACCTGGAATAGAGCATAATATTCATGTTGAGGATGAACACATATTTTAATTCAAAGATCCTGTCTTGCAATTCATATCAAAGGCAAAGGCACCTAAGCCACCCAATAGCAGGGCATTCAATTTAGTTTAATGCTTAATTTTTGGCTAAGCTCTTGGTGTAGAGGGGTGGGGATGGCTGGTAGGGTCAGGGTACAGGATATAAAGATAGACAAACGAGGGTACCTTCCTTTATGAACTTACAACAGAGTGAAAGGAGTCAAACTTTCATTTTAGAAACACAAATGCCAAGAACACCACAAGGTAGATGGTTTGAGTAAATAATTCTAACTTTGGGCATAGGGAATCCACTTAAAGGGTTTTGAAACTTTTAAAATCTTGCCTTTATTAGGTAAAAATAATCTGCCCTTCTCACCCTGGTTTAGAATCACTCTTTTCTATGTATCCCCAGTTGCTAAAAATATTTTTTTATAGAGCTTAGTTTGTGTGATAAATGTGGTAATTAATGTTTTGATTTGTTTCCTGAATATAATTATAATACTTAATATATTTATACAAGTTACATATGTAACTCAGGAGACTCATCCATCTTCTAGGGGTAGTGGCTGGGGGCTGCCCCCCAGAAGAAAATTACTCTTAAAAGAAGTAAGGTATACAACAGATTATATTTTATAAAGTACCCAACAGCAAAAAGAGAAAAACCTACTTTGAATTATAATTTTTACTTGGTATTAAGTTATGTGATCCATCTCTTTTGAACACTATAAAATTCCCTATATAGTTTAGTGACACAGGTAAAATATACCTTAAATTTGTTAGGCATTAAGCCAGACAATCTCCTATTGCCTGAAAGGCCAATTTTCTATGCAACACTTAGCACCTATCTTATTTTCCCAATTACACACAATACTATGGCAGGAACTGAAAATGAGCTATTCTGTCACATGACAAGATGAAGCAATAATTACCAAGCATTTCTTTTTCTGCCCCACAGAGTGAAAGAAGGGTCTTAATGAGCCGTAAGTGTCCTGCCAATAAGATGTTGTCTGCTTCACTGGTCTCACATTCTGCTGTGCGATTAGGTTCAAAGTTATCCAGCCAAGTAATCTCATCTTCAAGCATGGTAGCTGGGCTGATTCTTAACTGCTCCATTTCTGAAGCTAAGAAAAAAAAAAATCAGTTTCTTAAAGAGAAGTATTTACCTTTATGGAGTCAAAATCCTGAATTAAAGTAGGCAGAGAGATGTCCCAATCTTTCACTTTGTCAAACTCAAAAAACAAACAAGCCCTGTCATTAATAAATCTCAGGCTATAGCTGCTACCCATAGGACTATGACAGCTCATGCATATTCCTTCCTTCCTTCAATCAATCTCAGTCATAAACCAAACATATGCTGAGTGCTTCTTCTGTGCAGGTCACTGTGCTACAAGCTGGGGATATAAGATGGAGACAATCCTTGTTTAAAATAAGCTCCTTTGGTGGGAAGGAAAGATGGAAGGGTATGAGGAGAGCCAATGTTCCCACAGTGTTACCTACGCCTATAGGGGGCAGAGTTTTGCAAAGGAGAGAGGTCAACAGCAGAGTTCAGGATTCCAAATAATGCGCCAAACTCCAGAGAACTGTTCATACGAAGCATATTTCACTTCCCCTCCAAACAAGGATTTAAAACAAGATTCCATATTGGAAATTGGGATTGGGTAGGAGAGGAGTGATTATGCTCTACTTTCCCTGCACTATAAGCCACAGCAAGCAGGTCCCGGATGAGGAGGTAAAAAGGGATACGTCAGGGTCAGCCAAAGCTGGACCGGCACCAGATACGAATCCTGTCTACTTGTCACTCACTTCTATTACTATCAACACATCTCAATAGACATTCCCTCTATCTTTCAATAATCAACTTTTGAAAAATGATCAGAATGGACTATACTAGAAAGACTTCTTAATAGCTCTGTATCAGTGTAATTAAAGTATAAGCACCTTTGACAATTTTTAAAATCAACAGATTTTCTCAGCATATAATAGTTGGATACATAATAGAAAACTGGCATATGGGGTTTACATGCTATTTTCAGGAAAATAAAATTCAACCTCAAATGATAGTTAGAATCTCACTTATATCTCGATACATTAAGTCAGAATTAGAAATGTCCATTTGGCTTTCTTTTCTCCTTCCCACCCCCTCGAATTTACTCCCCCCATAAAAATCAAAGTTAGACATTTACTTACTTGTCAGATCATCTAATAATTGGCACCTCAGGTCAAAATATTCCATACACTGAGACAACAGTCTAAAAAACAGATTTCAATTATTAAAAAGAGGCTGATTTCAAAATAAAAATAATTTTCTTTATTATAAGAAGTTCATAAAAACAATTGAATGAGACTTTTCCTAGCACAAAATAACTACTTTTACATTAATTCAACTTCATTATTTTAGCAAGAGGCACATTAATGATTTTACCATTACAGATACACATAGGAGTTGTGAAGTATGCTGAGCTGAGACTGTGACACTAAGAAGACATGAGCAGTGTGACCTTTACACAGTAATCTGGCTTGAATTGTTTCAGGCTCTTACCAACCAGGTAAGGGGAAGGTGGGAGATGGAGGCGGGAACTGGGGGTGATAGAGAAGAAAGCCTGGTATTATTCTAACTCTCCAGTCCTGAATGGGGAAAAACACTGAAATGCCCTCTTTCAGACACAAATGCTAGAAGAGGAGAGGAGAGATTCTTCTGTCATCTCAATAATGCACAGTGGACTTTATGGGAGCAGTACCCAACTCATTATTCTTTCTGTATAATGTGAGCTTTCTCATCTTTATCACGTACCTCTGATTGACTCCTCTCATAATACTAGTTGGAGACCAGAGAGGCAGCTGAGCTGTGAGAATCACGCCTAGAAGAAACTGATTTGGCTTCTGTACATCTGGATGAGTTGAAGTATCTGTCTGACTAAGAGTATACAGTTGATCACAGGCAACACGGCGAATCTGGAATTAATTAGTGGCAAAGAACATCCATCATCACTTAAAAGATTGCTTTAAAAATGGTTCTCCTTCAAAGTCCGAGTATTTCAATATTAATAGTAAAGTTTACATTGAATAAACTAGGATTAAAAACAAGTGTGTTCTAGGATTAAAAACAAGTGTGTTCTGGGAACTGATTTCCGAAACCATTCTATTATTCTATTCTAATCAATAGATTTATAACTTAATATAAATGAAAATAAGGAAAGTTAATTTTCAAGGTCATGTCAGACAATCAGAATTATAAAATCTAGTGAAAGTTCATGGCTTGAAGTTGGTCTTGATTTTGACCAACATGTTGATGCTTAATGCCAGCTGTCCTTGCCAGCTATGGGTGTTGAACACTGGCTGTAATATTTTGTTTGTAATAAACAAAAATTAATTTTAGAACTAGTCTCTTAACTTTTTGAGGGATATGGAATAGAAAGGAGGGCAGGCAGCCCCAACGGTCACTGTATGATTCCCTGAGAGGACAAGATGTCATTCCTTCTGTATTCTCTACAATGTTACAGGTATCCAGAGAGCCAAAGACAGAAGAGGACCAAAGGGGTTTTTTATGAAGTAATGTAAACAATCCTTACCTCAGCACTTGGCGATCCAAGCAGAATATCGATGATAAAATCAGCAACACAGGGCAAGTTATAGAAAGATGCTAATGATAAGAATAAGGAAAATTGGGAGCAGGGGGGGAAATTAAGTTAGGAAATACATTTTCAAAATTTCAAAAATTCTGAATAATTTCTTAAGCTTAACTATAACAGAAATTCATCTCTTCTACATGGAATCAAATTCAAAACCTCTGACAACTGCCTCCATGCCTGTGAGCAGGACCATCTTGGTCATCTTTGTACCTTCACATTTTAGTACAATGCCTTGCACAGACCAGTCACAGAATAAATATGTCTTGTGTTGATAAACTACCAATACTGGTGAACTATAAAATATACCCTACCACAAACTTAAATAATGATAAAGAAGCTTGAAGAGAAGTTACACTTTTTTTCATTTTTATTTGAACAATTGTAGGAAAATTTAACTAAGTACTATGGTCTGTGTTCAAAAGTATGTCATGACTCACACTTCTCATATATAAACCTTCAAAAGCATTCTTGTCAAAGTAAATACTTTTGAATACTATTGCAATGTGACAAATCTCTAACCTTTTCTATAAGTCTATATTATAAAATGAACTTAGGTGTTACAGTAAATACATAATGATCACATCTATATCACAGGCAGCCTGAATCAGTAATAACAGTGAAGAATAGAGCCCATATGTATTGGCACAATTTTTAAAAGTGAAACTTTAAGACTTTATTCCTGAATAAATAAATATTTATTGAGGGCCTACTACGCACTGGGCAGTGTTTGGGTGCTGGAGACTGAGTAGGGAACAAAATGGACAAGAATCTGTCCTGATGGAGCTTACAGCCTAGTTGCGGAGGGGGTGATGACAACATGACAAGTAAATCAATTGTATTATTTGTTATAAAATGATAACTGACACAGCAAAAAATAAGGTGCGGGTTTTAGGTAGTGCTGGAGCTTGAGGGGATTGTTGTGATTTCTCTAAAAGGTGGTCAGAGAATGACTCACTGAAAAAGTAACATTAAGCAAGGACTTGTAGGAAATGAGGAAGAGAGAGCGATGTAGATAGATGGCCGAAGAAGATACCAGGAAGAGGGAGCAGCCAGTGCAAGGGCCCTGAGGCAGGAACGTGCGAGGGTGGTTGAAGCAGTCACAGTCAGTGAGGAGAGCTGGAGAAGGTGAAGGCACACAGGTATCAGATTGTGTCTGGCCTCGAAGGCCTTAGTGAAGATTTGGCTTTTACTCAGTGTGAACTGAGAAGCCACTGCAAGGTTTTAAACAGAAGAGTGATAGGCTCTAACTTACATTTAAGAAGGTCCACTCTGCTTACTGTGTGGAGAATAAACTGCAAGGGTAGAAGCAGGGAGATTAGTTAGGGTACAATGGCTGTGATCCAAGTAAGAGATGATGGCAGATCAGAGGGTAATAATAGTGAAGAGGTAGAATCTGGATATAGTTTAAAGGAGGATGTGCCAACAGCTTAGAAGTGGGGTGTGAAAAAAAAATTGAGGATGACTCCAAGGTTGTGGCCAGAGCAAAACTGCTAAATAATTAAGTTGGGGAAACTCTTGGCTGATATGGGCCAGATCAATAGTTCAGTTGTGTATATGCCAAGTCTAGGAAGCCTATTTGAGATCCAAGTGGAAATGTCAGGGGTGTAGTCCAGGCTGGAGACCCAAATTTAGGTCTCAGCATATAGTAGAAATTGAAAGCTGTGAAAATGGATGAGACCGCAGTGATGTAGGACCGAGCCCGGGAATGTTTTAACACAAAAAGTTGGATTCATAACAGCCCCACTTTGCTAAAGCCAACAATAAAGTTAAAAGGGCAAATCTTAAATTTCATAATTTTTAAGTGAAGTCATTACTGATATATAATTCTAATTCTGTAGTTTGTGAACTATAATTTGGGTTGTTTTAATTCCCCAACTAGACAGTAAGCTCCTGGAGGGCAAACATACTGCTTTTTATAGCACTCACTACGGAACCTTATAGATAGAAGGTGCTCAGTAAATGCTTGCTCAAAATCTCACTACTCTAGCACTCTACTTACCTGTTCCACATGCCAGCGTGCCCCTCTTCATTTCTATAACATGACTTTGTATCTATAAAGGCATGTAAATAATTCCCAACAGAAACCCCTTTCCCTAAAGGAGAGGAATCCCAAGCAAGCCTCCTGCTTACCCAGCTGTTGGCTCCGAAGCTGTAGGCAGGTAACCAGGAGAGACAGAGCCTCGCCAGCAATCAGGGAGTCTTTGGTGGACACGGACTGCTGGCGCACACAGATGCCTGCGTGCAGGGCGACTGGCTCTCCTTCACTTCCAGAGCTGCAATTGCTTCCTGGAGAGGGGCAAGCAGAAGGTTACTATGGTCCTATAAGACCAGTGGATCTTCTAATAGCCTTTTAATGTGTTCCCCAGAATCCTCAAGTGAAATTAAATAGTTCAAGAAGACACTTTGGTCTAAGAAATAAGAGAGACTTAATCACTTTATATGACCCTGACTGCTTTATACATAGTTTATGGGGCAAAACTAATTTCAGGTGACAGAACAGTGCAATTTTGGAGCCATTAGGAAGTCTTCCTTGGATGTTAAAAATGCTCCTTATGGTGATGCAGATGGGTTACAATATGTAAAAATCCTGTTAATATTTCTGCACTTTATTATATATCTGTCACACATTAAAAATTTTTTTCAATACTGAAGTATACACAAACTCATAGATTGAACAGGGAAACCAAATGAAGCTGAAAAGTAAAGCTACTTATAAAGGTCTAATAGAAATAAGTGGCTGAACCAATAAAATGACTTTTCCATGTGGAATCCTAGATGAATTTTTATTACAGCCAGTTACTGGCCCCATGACATTTTACACTGAGCAAGATAAAAACGGTTTGATTTGATGTCCCCACTGTTTACTTTTTTTCTTAAATGAAGTATGACATACATATAGGAATGTGCAACCTATACAGAGATGATTCTTACAGCTATTTCTTGCCCAATGCTCTAATTACTTTATCCTTTTTAATCAGTACCTGAACTGCTGAGCCTGTTTCGAATTCCAGCAGGAAACAGAGAATTACTTTCTTTTATTGGTTGGCTACTCCCAACAAGGTCAAGTCGTCCTGCAGCAGCAGCCCACGACAGTCTCATGAAACAAGCCACAGTGGAAGTGAAATCATTTACTTCCATTGTCTACAGAAGGATGGAAAGAGTGTTTGTTACGAGAAAAGACAGTACTGGAACACAATCCATTGGCTTCTATGACCTACTAGTCTCAGTTTGTGAGATTCTTTCCCCCCAGGATCACCTAGAGCAGTGGTCGGCAAACTCATTAGTCAACAGAGCCAAATATCAACAGTACAACGATTAAAATTTCTTTTGAGAGCCAAATTTTTTAAACTTAAACTATATAGGTAGGTACATTGTTATTAACTTAATTAGGGTACTCCTAAGGCTTAGGAAGAGCCACACTCAGGGGGCCAAAAAGCCGCATGTGGCTTGCGAGCCGCAGTTTGCTGACCACGGACCTAGAGGACCACCTTTTTTAATGCTTCCATGCTGTTCAAAGACTTTCAATATCTCTCTGCTTCCTGTAAACAAGGACTATGATTTATCTTCC